CCTCTGTTAGTGGGAGACCTGTAGCAGCCGCTCTGTTGCCGCGTGGCTCGGAAAAGTTTTCGCTTAGCCATCGGGAAGTTCATTTGGCAAATGGAAGTTGCCCATTTAGCCGGCGGGCTGCTGGGGGGATGAGGCGATGAAGCAGTGGCTTTTAACCCCTTTTAAAATAGTTTTAATTGAATTTATTGATATTTTAGAAGGGAGCGATACGTAGATCCACCTACTCCCACGTACTCTCATACATACATAGTATGTGTATGTCAAGAGCAAAACCCAAAAAAACAGATTCAACTGGGAACTGGGAGCTGGGAACTGGCGCTTGGGAGGCCCTCGGCGCTGCCAAATGTTCGAACAAAAAACGCAAAGTTTAGTTAACTTTTCATCGGGCTAATAAAGCGTACGTCTTTTTGGCAACAAAATTGGAGGCACGACTCCAAATCAATGCCCCATCTCATGTGAGTGAGTGTGAGTGCGGGCGGAGGGTGCGTATGTGTGGTTACGACTAATGAATAGAAATGTCGTCCTTCAAAAGTTTTCGACTGAGCGAAGCTCTCAATTTGCAGCTCCCTTCCCTCTCTCTATCTCTCTCTCTCTGTATCTATGGGTTAATGAAAAGCAGATTTCTCACACACAAACACACACCCACACACATACACACACACACAAATCCTATAGTTTGAAGTTGACTTTGAGTTTTTGGCTTTTTGAGGGCCCAAGGAAGCGTGGCACAAGATTTGCGGCTCACTTGGAATGCAAAACTTAAATGCGTGCCATATGAATCGTTAATTGTGTGGGCATGCCAGCCGCCGGAAGCGCCGGATACGGGCTGGCGGTGGTTTGGTTCGGTTCGGTTCGGGCTGGTCCTGGTGGTGGTTGGAGGGTAATTGGTGTGAAGGATAAAGAGCTTTTGCAGATGCGGGGGGTATTAGTGATTCGCAGAGTTTGGGGCAATTTGTGAGCGCCAAGTTTTGGTTGGGTATGAATTCGATAGTCAGTTTAAGAAGATCTATTGAGTTAATATTCTAAAATTAAATTAAAGTTAATATAATGTATAAGAACTTCTTGAATTTCCCAATAATTGTATCCTATTATTAGTATCAATCGCTGCTAAGTAGCACAATGTTCTTTGAGCTCAATTTGCTTTGTGTTTCTATTGGGATTCCTAGATAATTTCCTCCCGCCGTAATGTGTTCTGGAATCTCCACATCCCACAGGCTAAGCTCACACCGCAATAAACCTTCTTAAACCGCAAAAACGTTCTATATTTACGGTATTTCCCACCCTTTAAATCTTGGTAAAGATTTTTCTCCCCGTTTTTTGCCCCGTTTTTTGCCTCTGTGCAGCATTTTTCCTGCTTTAATATTTATTCGCAGAGCAACTGCAAATATTTTTGTGCTCATTCATAAAATTTGACATTAGCATATTGCATTTCCATTGCGTTAATGTGACAAAATGACAAATGAAGTTGGTTTCGCTCTTCCAGTCGCATTCGCAGTCGAAAGCCGTCTGTCTGTCTCTCTCTCTCTGCATTTCTCCCACACTTTCAGCCACTCTGTCGCTCTGTTTCTGTGAGTCTGAGTCTGGTTACCCGGGAAGTTGCACTTGAATGTGCATTTGCATTTTCATCGGAGCACTGGCAAAAAGCAAAACACTTTGACAAGCGTTTACAAACTCGCCAGCGCGACACAAGCGCAGCAACAAGCCAGGGAGCTGCCATGCCATGCCATGGAAACTTTGAAATTGATAAATTGATTTATGCAAACAAAACAGAAAGAATAAATATCAGAAAATGGGGACAGAAATCTTTATATCTGGGCCCCATGGATCCATCCGCTCAGCACGAGCATGAAAAATGATGATGAGGGAGGGATGCATGCGAAAAGAAAAAACACACACACACACAGCAACCGAAGGACGCAGGACGCAGACACGGCACGAAGTACGAGTACCATTAAAATACGTACAAAATCAATTAATAAACAATATGAAACAAAATTGGGAAATTGTTTGAATGTCCGCCACAGACATGACCGACCTCGAGCAACGACCTGCGCCCGCTCTCTCTCTCAATTTCTCCCCAGTATTATGTGCCGCCTGCCTTTGTGGCTATTCTGCTCTCATTCAAAATTTATTTATGAAAGCACCTTGTTTTTTTTTTTTTGCTTTCTTTTCTTGTTGGAGACAATGCTTAAAGTCACTCGCACGCGGGATACCCATTGTGTGTCGGAGGCTGTTACTGTGGCTGCTCCTGATTGACTCACGCCCCCTCACGTAGCAACAGCAACAGCAGCAGCAGAGGCGACACCAACAACATCGACGTCAATGCCAAACCATATTTTCGTAACAATTTCAATTTTTGCGCAAAAAGTTGCTGTTGTTCGGAGTCCTCACACTTTGATGTGTGCACTGAGAAATATTTCGGACTTCCCTCTAACCAATATTAATACCAATTCAAGCAAGATTTATCTAAAATTTGTCTTCCATTAAATACAAAGAAAGATCTCATTTCCATGTGTGGATTGTTGGGAATACTTTATATTATTTTTCCATCATCTATAAAGTGGCATATCCTTTCGCTTAGTGTTGCCTATTTTGTGTCCTCTCACTCTCGATGTCAATGTGTGTGTTTGTATGGGTTTGTGTCCTTTGCATGTGCACTGCGACATTTAAACCGTAAAGACAAATAATTCAATATGGTATACAAGTCACGTGCCCCTTCTGTTATTGCTTTCAGCTGGCTTTGATTTTGTGCAGTCAGCGGGGGCAGCCGTAGGGGCACCCAGACGATATAGCAGATGCGAGGGCGGCAGCACGCCCCAAATACAGCGTCACACACACACATATATACAGATGTGTATGCAGATGTTCGGCCATTGCCTGCTTGAGCAGCAATCATTATAAACTTAATTAAAATATCTTCGACAGACATACATACATACACACATACAGACAGAGTAACAGTCGTGAACGACAGCGCCTGAGAGCGGGCAATGGTTTCTTTTACGAGTAGAATGGAAAGGCAAGCGGGCAAATATTTAAACTGCCACCTACGCGCACTCGCAACGCCGAACACACAATTGCATGGGAATTTATATAGACACACACACCGAGATACTTCACACACACACACACACTAGGTGTACGGGGAGGGGGGTACAATCACAGGTAACTGCTACATGTGTAAATATTTACAAAACGCGCCAAGCGTCGACAAACTGACGCCAGCCGCCATCTTCACTTTTGCCGCCATCTCGCGGGCTATACACTTGTCCTTTTGTTGTTGTTCTTGTGGGGTACATAACTCTTTGTTCGCGACCAGGAGCGGCGAGGGCAGCGTGAAGGGAGTTGGGTCCAGGAAATTGCTCAAAACTCTCAAGAATAATTAAATACTAAAATTACTAAAACTACTATAAGCACAGGAGTTCCACTCCATAAGAGAAAAAAATCTTAAAACTTGCCGTTTCTACAGCTCAAATTGTGACAAGATATAAGGTATCCTTAAATCACGTTAATACTCGACTCGTACCACATTTGTCTTGCTCTACATTTAGAATCCTTCTGACAAATCCGCTCCTGGCCATCACCACACTCCCACGCACCCAAAACACACACGGGTTTATTTATGCCATTCGATATTTATCGCTGTACCCCCCTCCATCATGTTGTTGTTGTTGTTTCGTTCTTGCCACTGCCACACATGCCACATGCCACCACTCCGCTCCCTGCTCCTGACTACTTGTGTGCGTGTGTGTGCTTTATTCCCTTTTATTATTATTATGCTGTCATTTCTGTTGTCGCGACATTGTCAGAGCGCACGTCGTGTGCGGAGCTCAAAAACAGACCAGACACACGGCCGAGGCCCCCCCCGCGTGTAACCCTTTTATGCCCGCATCCGCAAAGGGGTTCAGTTCAGTTGAGTCTCTCTCTCTCGTTTATACAAATCGCTTCTGTAAGCCTTAATATGTATTCCTTATGCCTAACAAAGTGCACCCAAAATCAATGTGTGTTTTAGTGCTCCAAAATTGATCTTGATATCCGTAGGAGTACGAGTGCGAGTACGATTATGTGGCGTCAAATCACATCGCTTGAGTTCTGTTTCAATTGCCTACATATACAAATCAATTTCTTAAGTTGCTGCTATTCCCAGGCTTGTCGAATATGCCTCATAATGTCAACAAGGCAATATTTCACAACGGTCTGCGACGATGTCTGGCAGCTTTATGTTGTCGTCGCTGTAGTTTGTCGTGGAGGGAGAAAAGTGGCACCAGGGTGTAATAAATTTGTGCAAAAGGAAAGGGAGACACATGGCAGGGCACAGCATACTTTTGTGAGTGCTCCTTGGTTAGGTATTCGTATTTCGTTGTGGGTTTTGAATCTATAGATTAAACAAGAGCTGCGCTAGCCTTTCACTTTCAATAACCGAATCAAGAGTTGTAAAAATACAAACAAAACATGCAATTTCCCACCCCATTAAAGTCCGCAGAACAGGCCACAAGTGAAGGCGCCCCAGGACCTCACACTTCCATTGAACCGAACCGAACCGAACCCCTATGCATTGAAACCAACCCCCTTCTCGAAGAGTGAAGCCTCAAAGGGCGAAACGTTTAAGCGCTTTGCTGCTTGCTGCTTGCCTCTGACTTTGATATGCAGCCATTTGAGTGTCGCTTGATGTAGTAGCAGAAACGAGAGCCACACCAGAAGGGAAGGGCAGCAAGGAAGGGCTGCAGTATACACTGCACGAGTATGTGGAACAACCCTTAGGGCAATGCAATCTCCAGTCTGTGGTCTGCATCTCATGTGCTCATTCAATGGATCGCGTGCCCTAAAGAGACTGCCCCGTATATTAAACCAGATCAAATGGCGCACAGATACGAGCATCCATAACTAATTATATGTTTTAGGAATCTAATTATACTCTAAATATTTTGTGTTGGTTTTTAATTTTCAGTTGGGCGTTGGATAATTACTATGATTTTTTCTGGCAATTCGTGATATTTGTGAATGGTATATAAGGCTGCCATTTCCATATTTGTGGAAACTTTTAAAATGTTAGTCCAAGTAATTCTTTTGGACTCAATCCTGCTGCTGGCGATCGTGTACCGTACGAGTGGGGCGACCTACGAACTTTTGGTGGCTGACGAGAGCCTCTTTAGTGATTGCCCGAGCCAAGCGAAAGGCACTCTCAATCAGCACGGCATGTTCGACTTTTCCAACTTTAGCTCCTCGATGAATCCGGACGGTGTAACCATCGCTGGCAGCATGACTTCCGTGTGGGATATCCAACCCAAAGATCGTGTAGAGGTGATGTCGGCTGATCGCAATGGCAATTTCCAATTATTCCCCATAATATTCCATATTATAGATGGCCATTAGCCTTCTCTATTTGGACAGAGGCACCTGGCAGCCCACCGGCTTCTCCATGGTGTCGTCGGACTTTTGCGGCAAAATGTACGACGATAAGCAGTACTGGTACAAGTTCTGGTCGGGACACATAGCAAATGTCAACGATGTCAGGGATAAATGTTTCCAGCGTGGTGTAGGTCGATGCGACTGATCCTTCCATGCTGTTTCAAAACTATTCCCAAGATTTTTTGTGTCTGTATTTTTGCAGACAAAATTACTGATGGAGACGTACCTTCTGTCGCTGAAAGCCTCCATCATGGGACCAATGCGCAGTGGACGCTACAAGGCCCAGATCAACTTCAATGCCTTCGCTGAGGGAGGGGCGAAGCGTCCACCGAACATCTGCTTCGAGATTGTTGGCGACTTGTTGAGAGTTTAAATTTTAAACTAAAATTATGTACGAAATTTATTATTGGTGTGAAGCGTACAAATCATAAATCATACTATCATATAATTGTATATGTTTATATGTATATACACTCAATCCTCAATCTTAGGGGCTATTCTGAACTCGGCTTAGGGTCTAGATCCTTAAACAAATGTAGCGTCGTACTCTTATGATCTATGGACTACGGACCAAACACTCATTCCATTGCTTGTAAATGATTGCCAGCGTTCGTTGTGTGTGTGTGTGTGTGTGTGTGGTGGTGGTCGATAGTGCTAAACTTAACTAAGACACAGGAGATCGTTGAGGCGTTCTATCGTTGAGGCGGGCAGCAAACGCCGCCGCCCGATCATGTCAGATGCGTGGTGGCCGTGGTCGCCGACTTTCCGGTAAAGAACCGATTTCCGCCAGTCTGTGTGGTGAAGAGCAATGTGTCCACCGAAGGCAACATTTGATTCGAGCGCACCAGCAGCGGCACATTCACCATCGACATTGTGGTGGAGGCGGTCGACACACTCGTCGTCCCCACCGACTGTCCCGAGGGCGATGAACTGTGCGACGTGTGACTCAGCTTTCCCTGCGCATTTAGCGTGAAGGCGGGCAGATAGTAGTTCCCAGAGCGCACCGGTCCCGCTTGGCAATTGCCATTGGAGGACGAGACGGCAGTCAGCTCCATGGAGGCGGGCGATGAGAACGGCGACGACTCGAGTGAGGGGCAAGCTAGGCGATCGCTGGGCTTACAAGGCACTGCAAATGTAGGAGAAACGAACGAGAATTACAAACGATTCCATTTCGAGGGGCAGGAGGATTATTTTCCACTTACAAAATTCTTCATCTGGGAGCAGCTCGTCGGGCAGCTCGTTCTTAATCTGAAAGTGCAGGGCTGCGGCCGAATCCGAAATGGCGTTGTCCGATGTTCCCATTTCCGTATTGGCATTGGGCGCATCATACAGCCCGCACTCTTCCATTTCCAGGGCCTGTTCCATAATCAGTTCTTCGGCCGATGTCAGACTGAGGCCGTGCAGATCCAAGAACGGGCCCTGCGGATGCACTGGTTCCTTTTTGATTTGCGGCAGCGTGGGACAAGCGACGGGCTCCAGCATGGACTGGAGTTGTAGCTGCTTCTGTGTCTGTGGCTTCTGCTGCAGTTGCTTGGGCGCCGGCTGCTTGCGCTCGCGTTTGGCTTTCGCTTGCTTGGGGGGTGGAGGCGGCAATGCCGCCAATACAGAGGATAGCTCCTGCTGGCATCCTTGTGAGGACTTTGTGGGCGCCGGGTGCACCTGTTGGAGTGCAGTGCCCGCCGGCAAGGTGATGCCCAGGGCGGCCAGGGTGGCCTGCTGTGGCTGCTTCTTTTTGCGTGCCTGCTTCACTGGCGCTGCCGCAGCTGGTGCAGGACTCGGCTTGACTTTGCCATCCGTTGAGGCGCCAGGATCATCTCCGTTCGCTGCGGCTGTTGCTGCTGCCGCTGCAGCTGCTGCGGCGGCGGCGGCTGCTTTCTGTGCCTTGCTGGTGGTTGACTTCTTCGAGCAGTACGAGGGAATGTTCTCGAGGTGTTCGCCAGTTTTGTGGTCCACCTTGTGGCGGCGACGTGTGTGCTTCAGCCAGTTGGGGAAGTTGGTGAAGTCCCGCGGACAGTAGTTGCACTTGAAGGGTCGCATCCCAGTGTGGATATTCGAGTGTTGCTTCAGCTTCGAGTTGCTTATGAAGCTCTTGTCGCAGACGGTGCAGGCGAAGGGTCGCTGCTCCAAGTGCACCAGATTGTGCACCTTCAGACAGCGCTCGGTCTTGTACATTTTTCCGCACTTCTCGCAGCGATAGGAACGCGTTTGGGCATGGTACTTCTGATGTCGCTGCAAATGCGAGCGCTCCTGGAATCGCTTCTGACACTCGGGGCATTCGTACGGCTTCTCCGACGAGTGGATTCGCGCGTGATGCGTCAGATTGATCTTCTGCACAAACTTCTGGCCGCAAATGTCGCACTGATACTTCTTGTTGTCGCTGTGAATCTTGCGGTGCATCCACATGCTTCCCAGCTTGAGGCTATACGAGGGTTAAACGAGTCGATTAGAGTGGGGATCAGCGGGAGAGTTATAGCGCGGGCACTTACCACTTGCCACAGTCGGGGCACTTCTTCCAGGTGTCCTTGCGGCCCTCGGTGCGATGCGTCTTGAGGTGCTTCTTGAGGCCGGCGATCATTTCAAAGTCCCGCTGGCATTCGTTGCACTTGTATGTGATCCGGAGACGATGGCCGGCCGCCTCGTGCTTGCTCAACTCCTCGGTACTCTCCAGCAGCAGTCCATTGCAGTCCAGGCACTTGTGCAGTGGCACAGGATCCACTTCGAAGGGTTTCACATTGCCATCCGTCGAAATGGGGGCCGGCATACTGGACGCCTGCACGGGCGTCGTGGCCACCGGCCTCGGCTGCTGGAAGATGGTAAAGGCTGGCGGCATGTATTCGGACTCGCACACCTCCACTTTGGTCACCACATTGAGGGGCTTCAGCTCTGGCATGGGCCTCTCCTCGAGCGGCTCCTCCTTGAAGACCTTCAGACGCACTGCCGTTGCCGCCGGCAGCTTGGGCTTGCGTTGCATCGGCTGGGGCATCAGTTGCATGTGCATCTGCTCCGGCGACAGCTTCACCGGCGTCGTGGAGGTCGACGAGGATGTCTTCTTGAAGGGGGAATTGGTGAAGGCATTCGGCGGCTCTGGCCGCAGGAAAGTCACATTGAACTCGGAGCTGTGATTGTCACTGGATAGGTCGCGGGCCACAATGCCACCGCTGGGCCCCGCCGCCGCCGCCAGGTCATCGCGGCACACGTCGGCGGAGAGATTCAGCTCCGTGTTGTTCTGGGCGCTCTCGTCGAGCACGCGCCAAAAGTCCGTCGACGAGAGGCTGTTGCCGTTGACGAAGCTGGCGGAGCTGATGGTCACGCAGGCGGATAGATCAATATCCAGAGACTCATCCTTGATGCTCGATATCGAATCGAAATTGTTAATGCGCAGCAGGGAGCTGAGAATCTCGTCGTGCGCCGCCTTGGTGGGGGTGCAGTCCCCGCCATAAATTTTAGGCGGCAATTTCTTGCTTGGCGCCTCTTCTTTCATTCTCTTGCCCTTGCCTTTACACTCCATTCGCCACTACGTACACTTACAGGTTATGCGGTCGGCGTTTTCAATTGCCAAACTGTCTGATTTCTGGCTGTCGCTGGTGTATTTCTAGCACTGGACTACTTTCCACTGTCACTGGGTCCTTGATTCACACATTTCTGGTTGTTTTCCGGTGAAACGTACGCACGAATTGCACAAAAAACATTTAATTATTGTGAAATGCGCCTCGGCTTTGTTGTTTTTGTCACGCTTACGATTCTTGAGTCGCCATTTTGGCCTCAGTGTTGGAAATGATGCGTCGCCTAGCAGGGTTGCTTTCCGCATCTATCGAATGTTTCAGACTATCGCACACAACCATCGACAACATCATATAATCGATATATATCAATGGATGTTACCGCCAAATTCAATTTAGCGCACAAAAGTGTGCGGTACTTTTATAATTTTATCACAATTTTGTATATTATCCATTATCTTAATATCAATATAAGTAATGATTTATCAAATGCATACTTTGGGAAAATGGATAAAATTAAGATAATGTTTGCAATATCAGGCTCCTATAAATGCAGAAACTAACAGTCTTTAAAGCTACCTCGGTATCGGGACTTTTAGGTATTTTCGGGCTGAGAGGGCCAACTAGCTAGTAATATTAAACGGAATATCAAAATCGAGGAATATCAACGTTTGAAAAAAACAGTCGATACTATCGTAGTATCGGGCTCAAATAATTATTTAAAAACCATTGAAACCTTTTAGGAACATGTCCATTGTCGATTTGATTACAAATGTGTCTTCGTAATTTATAGCAGCCAATCCAAACATATCAAAAGCACAATGACTGTATCTCGATACTATCCTGATAGTTTAAAAAACCATCGATAGTAGAGGCTAGAGGTAAAATATCGGTACTATCAATAGTGCCCTCGATGGTTTGACACATCTAGTTTGCACATCACTAGTTCTAAATATGGCGTCAGGCGAAGGTAAATTTTAATTTTTTTGTAAAATAATTGCCAAAAAACTTGTTAAAGTTGTTCGCAGTGAATAATTAGTTGGCCGTTTAATCACCAACATTGAGCATAGCATACAGAGTGTGTTAAATAGAAAAGCGAAGCAGGCAATAAAGATAAAGCAAAAAACGTGAAAATCACGCGGCAGGCGAAAACCACAACATCGCGTACAGTTTATGTAAACCGCATGGACTAACTTAACTGCTGGACTATTTTTGCAGGTCGCCGTACACGCTCCGGTCGAAAGGCCACATCTCCGCCAGCACCAGCACTTGCAGTGTCCACAAGGACCTCCAAGCGCACATCCAGGCGACACGCGCAGGTCAGTACACCCACACGGCAGACACACAGCCACCAGACATACAATTGATGAGAAAAAATGCATGTCTTCATGCGGATGTGGCGTTGTTCCGTTCGCATATGATGCCCCACAGCACATGATTTTCTGCAAGGGCCAACTGATGTAGCAATCAAAGGCATCTGCGATCCCACAGCATTCCCTCAAATCTTTTCTAATCACATTCCTTGCGTCTTGCAGGTAAGCGATCCCGAAGAGGAAGAACCCGAGCAGCAGCAACCACAGACAATCATCAGCAGCGAAACTGCCATGGTGTTGGATGAGGAGGACGAGGACCAAATGCGCGAGTCCTCGCTCCAGGAGGCCTCTGTGCCAGAGCAACATTACGATGAAATGGCCCAGCTGCAGCACCAGCTGGACGATGATGTCGAAATGATGGCAGCCACCGAGACGGGCGTGGACGAAAAGAGTTCCTCATTTCCGTTTGGCACAGTGGCGGAACAGCATTCCGAAACGAGTGATGATATCAAAGAGAGTCGGGCCGAGGGTGGCGTAGACACGCTGCTCGCCTCCCTGGCTGGCGATAATGCCAACAGTTTGCCCTCCGTTGGGGGCAACGATGAAAGTGATAGCAAAAAGGCGGCTTTCGATTACAACGTGGAGGCCCTGGAGCCCCATGTGGACAAATTGAACTCGTCCGAGGACTCCAGTTCCCATCATGCCATTGCAGAGAGTCTGGGCGATGAGGCCGACACCAGCAATGCCACAATAGTCAACACAGAGATAATCTCAGAGGATGAACTGCCTCCACCCACCAAACCAGAGATCAACGATGCCGAGGAGGTCTCCGATGAAGAGCTGCCGGCTCCCCAGCGCGCCGAGCTGCCCGCCGATGCGGAGGTAATATCCGAGGATGAGTTGCCATCAAATAACAACAACAATAACAATATTGCGGGTGAGCCCAAGGCATCGACGAAGCGCAAAGCAGAAAAGGAAGCGGACGAGGCCAAGGCCAATGCCAATGTGGAGCCGAAGAGCAGCAGCGAAGCAGCCAGCACAAGGGCAAAGTCCGTGGAACAGTACAATCCGGGCAGCCCGACCACAGAGAGCAACGATGCTCCGCCATTGGAGAAGCGGCCCAAAGTGGATGGTGAGTCGTCGAACGCATATGGCAAACAATTTCCTGACATTTTCCCAAACAGATGCCGAGCACAAGGAGAAGAAAAAAGACAAAGAGCGTGATAAGGAGAAGGATAAAGAGAAGAGAAGGAGAAGGACTTGGCCGACAAAGAGAAGGAGAAGGAAAAAGAAAAGGAGAGGGAGAAGGAGAAGGAAAAGGAGCGAAAGAAGTTGCCCGATCTGGAAAAGTACTGGCGGGTGGTCAAGGACGATCCAACGGACTTTACCGGCTGGACATACCTGCTGCAATATGTGGATAGTGAGGTGAGTGTGCCACAGATTGTTGCAACATTGTTTTTTTTTTAAATCTGTAATAATATATATAATTGCTGACGCTGTCAGTCCGATGCGGAGGCGGCACGCGAGGCCTACGACACATTCCTTTCGCACTATCCCTACTGCTACGGCTACTGGCGGAAGTACGCGGACTACGAGAAGCGGAAGGGCCTCAAGGCCAATTGCTACAAGGTGAGTACCCCCCCTCCGATCAATTATACACACACACACACATATGTAATTTCGTGCAATTAAATCTGTTTCGCAATTTCTTGTATTACGCTTACAATTACGATTACAATTTGATATATATATATTCCATATTGATATTTGTTGTTAAATGCAATTTATTATGATTATTATAACCGAATAAACAAAAAACGAAACAATAAATACAACCATCTACAAAACAACAATTCAGCCCGTCAGTTTAGCCAGCCAGCCAGCCAGAAAGTCTGCCAGCCGTCAGTTTAGCCTCCAGTTAGTCCAGTCCCTGCTTTGGGAATGAAACTGTCACTTTAATTGGCTATTTGGCAATTTAATCCATTAATTGATTTCGGTTGCAGATTCATTCCCTTACCCTTTCTACCCCCTCCACTTTATATCCTTGCAAAAGAGCATTTTACTGTATTTCGTAGAGGTACGAAGAGGGTCTGCTTTAGGGCATTACCTGAGCCTGGGCCTGGTCTTGGCCATCTGTTTGCTTTGACGGAATACCCACCCCTAGATTCATCAATAAACAGGACGTCTACCTGTTTCTTTCATGAGTTTTTCCATTCAATTTGTACCTTGAAATGAGGTTCATTCACACACAATTTGTAGTAACTTTTACAACGCTGAAAAAGAATTTAAAATGCCTTCAATTACTTGCAAGGGTATACCAAAGCTACGGCCTGCCGCTGCTAAAATCGGTTTCTTTTGTTTGTTTACGTAAATATTCCGAAAGGAAATTCTTGAGCCGGGCACAAACTTCAACGAAATCTTGGCAGAGTCCACACCACGCTTGAGTCGCACATAGTCTCACTGTTGTAGATTAGATCAGCTTAGACACCTCTCCCATTGACCTCTCTGAGCTGAAAGACTGATTCGACTGAGTCGGGCCTGCTTGCTCGCCTCGCCTCGTTTCGTTTCGTCTCTTCTTTACTCTACTGTACTCTACTCTACTGCTCTCTTCGTATCGTATCGCAATCGGTCGTACTGTTACTGTTCCTCCTACTACAAAATAGTGATCTCTGATCCTCGATCGCATCTCCTCTACTCGTACTCGTACAGTCCGTAAGTAAGTACAAATGGCGTTTAAATGAAATTTATTAAGTCTCAGTGTGAAGTTTATTTTTGTATCTTAATCTTAAACTAAATCTTAAACGAAACACACAAAAAGTGTTTGTGCTCAAAGTGTCTGTGTGTCTTGTATTTAAAGTCGCTCCTAAGTTAGTTTTTTAAGCTCGAAACACCATCCAATCCACCAGATATGTAGATAGGATAGCCCTTAAGTGCCCAACAGTGATCACACGTCGATTATAAACTATACAAATTTCTATGTTTCTCCTCTGCGATCGATCCAAAAATCAAATCAATCGAAAATGACCAATAAAAAACGTAGGTGTTTGAGCGCGGCTTGGAGGCCATACCCCTGTCCGTGGATCTATGGATACACTATCTGACGCACGTGAAGCAGAGCAGCGACGAGGAGCTCTTCATACGCAGCCAATACGAGCGGGCGGTGAAGGCCTGCGGACTGGAGTTTCGCTCGGACAAGCTCTGGGACGCCTTTGTGCGCTGGGAGAGCGACTCGAAGCGCTACCAGCGCGTCATCCAGATCTACGACAGACTATTGGCCATACCCACCCAGGGCTACAATGCTCACTTCGACAAGTGAGTGGAGGAGAGGCTTTGCTGCCATTTTGTTGCTTTCGTTTATTAATTTCTCTCAATGATTGCAGTTTCCAGGATGTGATCAATCAGCAGGCAATTACCGCCTGCATTGGCCAAGAGGAGATCATACGCTTGCGCAGGGAAGTCCATGAGCGGCTGCAGAGCAAATCGTCCAAGTCATCGTCATCAAAGAGTCGGCGGGACAGCGGCAGCAGCAGCTCCAAGGAGGCAACAAAGGGTGAGCGGGAGAAGAAAGAGTCTGGAGGTGGAGGAAGTGGAAGTGGAAGTGGCAGTGGCAGTGGAAGTGGCAGTGGCGGGGCTGGTAAGTCGCCAAAAGATAGTAGTGAAACACTTGTCGATGAATCAGAAAGTACCACCGATCTGACCGAAAGCGAGTCATCGCCCCCAGCTTCAAAGCCGGCGTCTCAGATCGATTTCAGCGATCTTAGCACTCTCACCGAGGAGGAGGCGACCGTCGTCAAGGACAAGGTAATATCCGCGCGTCGCAAGGTCCACAAGGTAACCGTCGGAGCGGTCACTGCCCGCTGGTCCTTCGAGGAAGGCATCAAACGACCCTATTTCCACGTGAAGCCTCTGGAGCGAGCCCAGCTAAAGAACTGGAAGGAATATCTGGATTTCGAGATCGAGAAGGGTGATCGGGAGCGCGTGTTGGTGCTGTTTGAGCGCTGCCTCATCGCCTGCGCCCTCTACGATGAGTTCTGGCTGAAGATGCTCCGCTATCTGGAGTCGCTGGACGATCAGAGCAATGTCGTTGAGCGCATCCGCGATGTGTATCGTCGCGCCTGTCGCATCCATCATCCGGACAAGCCCAGCATGCACCTCATGTGGGCCGCCTTTGAGGAGTTGCAGCTGAATTTCGATGGCGCCGCCGATGTTCTGCAGCGCCTCGAGCAGCGCTGCCCCAACATACTCCAGGTGGCATATCGTCGCATCAATGTGGAGCGCCGCCGCGGCTCCTTGGCCAAATGCCGCGAGCTCTACCAGCACTATATCGAGGGCACAAAGAACAAGGGCATTGCCGGCAGCCTGGCCATAAAGTATGCCCGTTTTCTCAACAAGATCTGCCACGATCTGGACTCGGGTCTGGCTGTCCTGCAACAGGCCCTGGAACGAGATCCGGCCAACACGCGAGTGGCCCTTCAGATGATCGATTTAGCGCTGCAGCGGCCCGGTGTGGACGAGAAGGAGGTCGTGGAGATCATGGACAAGTTCATGGCCCGCGCGGACATTGAGCCGGAGCAGAAGGTGCTGTTTGCCCAGCGCAAGGTGGAATTCCTCGAGGACTTTGGCAGCACGGCCCGTGGCCTGCAAGATGCCCAGCGTGCGCTCCAGCAGTCATTGAGCAAGGCGAACGAGTCGCAAAAGAAGAGGTGAGCAGTGTGCACCACCCCCCTTCCCATTGTGTATCAATATTTTCATTTTCTTTGCTTTCGCAGCGACAGCAGTCCCAGTCGCAAGACTTCGTTGGGCAGCAAGGACGGTATTGCTGTACCAGGCCCATCCTCGGCCTCGGCAGCTGCCTATAACAACGGTGGCGGCGGTGCCTCCGGTGCGGCGGGTGGTCCCAACTACAACTACAACTCGGCGAATGCCTCGGGCTACTACGGACAGCCCAACAGCGGGGGTGCTGGTGCTTATGCGGCGCCACAGCAGGCACAGCAGCAGCAGTCCTACGACTCGTACTACAATCAGTGGGGCTACGGATCGGGCGGTGGTGCAAGCAGTGGTGGCAATAGCGGAGGCAACTACAACTACGGCCAGTGGAGCGGCTATGGCAACTACTATTAGGTCCCCTCAAATGTAACTCTAAGAGCACCGCGCGGCACCGCACACCACACCCCCACCCAGACAATCCTTGGTTTAGTTGTTTGACCCCCTTTTAAAATGGCTTACTGGACATACTAATTGTAATTTTATATTGAATTTCTAGCTTTTACATACGACTATGTAGCATACATATGTATATCGATTATGTTCAGTGCTAAATTTTAACACGAATTGAGTTTTCTCTTCAAATTATTTAATTATGTGCGCGCTGCGCATTGCCTTTTATACATTTTTGTTGCAATTTTTGATTGGTCTTTTACACACACACACACACACACACACACACACAATGGATTGTATGCCCACCCCCCACACGAGTATGCGTCGAAATAAAAAGATATTAAACTCTTAATCGGTCCACCAACTTTCCATGTATTCTCAACAAGAGATCCCTGACGGGCGGGCGGTCAGGCAGGCAGGCAGCAGTCGAGACTACCGAACTAGTACATTAAATAAAAAAATGAGCAATTTACAAGTTTTGGGTGTGGTAAAAGTAAAAGGTAAAAGATAAAAGAGCACTCCTAGAGATTGGGCCGATACCAGGTGACCTCCCCACTGTTGCAGCCTGTGACGAGCAGGGGCTCCCGAGGGCTGAATTTGGCGCAGAGCACCACATCCTGATGCTCCGTGATGTGTGCCAGCTCCACCAGTTGGCGTGGACTCTGCTTCACCTCGTCAAACGTCTTGTAGCTGGGATAGTCGCAGCAGTCGGCGCTGTAGCCCAAGAGGCGCACGCCATTGCCGTAGGGGGAGCAGATGATGCGACCGTCGGCGGAGAAGCCCGGCTCCTTGATGAAGCCCGGCTTGGTGTTTGTCTCGGAGGCATAGTACAGCAGCTTCCTGGCATTCACCAGTATGGAATGGCCATTCGATTTCAGTTCTGGGGCCGTGGTGGCCATAAATGGGATTAAGCGACGCGCTCTGATCTCCACGCCTACTCTGGTCCCGTTGCTGTTGGTGGTGTTGGTGGTGTTGCTGCTGGTGTTGCTCCTGCTGTTGCTGTTGCTGCTGCCTCCTGCAAGCACTCCCTCAATGTTGGTGATGCCATAGCTGGACGGGCGTTGGCTTGCGGCCGCCGCCGCTGCCGCCTGGCGCAATGGTAAGACTCCACTGCTTATGGCATACACAAAATTATATCCACTCACTTGATTGTTCGCCTCACGCGCCCGATTCTGGCGGGTGGCGCGCTCCTGGACGGTTACCTCTGCTGCCCAGATGTCGGGTATAAAGCTTTCGGGTCGTTCATGCAGATGCCGTGCGTTGGCCGCGGTGCCACCACGGCCGGAAGTCGGATTATAGCGGAATACCTGCATGCCGCGAGTGATGCGGCGTGTCGGTCGCGTCGAAGTCCCTTCTGAGGCGCCGCCCCCCTCCTGAGCGGCTGGAGGAGTCTCCGACGTACTGGCTGCACGGCCGGACGTGAAGGATAGGTGGCGTCTCTTTATTTTGGTCGTCACCCCCTCGTCCTCCTGCTCAGAGTCAGCCGTGGGCGCCTCCTCGTTGATGTCGTGTATGCAGGTCCACTCGCTCTGCTCGTCGCAGCTCACATTGCGCGTGAGCATGCAGCGGCAGTGTGGATGAATCTGTAGGGCCATTATCATCTCGGCGTCGTTCTGGTCGGGAAAATCTGTGACCAGCTCCACGCGGTTCTTCTTCTGGCGCCGCGAGAACACATGATCGTATTTGGCCGCCTGTGGGATGTACTGATCGCCCAGCTGCATGAGGCGGTAGATGCCCGGCTGGAAATGCAACAAAATGTGGTCTCAAGGGTAGTCTCCCATCAATCGGCCTGCTCCGCACTCACTCTGAAGCCACTGAGGTCCTTGTGCAGTGTGGTCAAGTCCAGGTGATGGATGATCATGATGTAGCCACCGCTGGTGCACAACACCAGCTTGTCGCCCGTCGGAGAGATGCGGCATCTCATGAGGCCGCTGGCATGGAACACACGCTGCGAGATGAGGCCCTGTTCCGTGTGCGAGGCAATGTCCCAGGTGAAGATGCTGCCGTCGAAGCCGGAGCTGACGAGCAGCTTGTCCTTGGACGAGTACTCGATGTTCTTCACCCAATTGGAATGGCCGTGCAAGACACGAAGCTTTTCGCGCATGTTGCGCAAGTCCCACAGTGCGACGGTAAAGTCGTCCGAGCCCGTGGCAAAGAGGCGCTCGTCGAAGAACCTAAGACAGTGCAGTGTAAGTGGGAGTGGGAGTGTGTGTGTGTGCGTGTGTGTGGCAGTGGAGTGCCTCTGTTTGCATGTGGTGTATGTGGTGTGTCTGTGTATACTCACTTGATGCAGTTGACGCTGTCGGTATGGGCGTCGGGTACCTTGACGATTTCCTTCTGTGTGATGGCATCGAAAACCAAGACGCACTTGCGCTCGGTGGCGGCCACCAGCACATTGCCATCGGCATTGAATTCCAAATTGAAAATCGCCCCCGTGTGGCGTCCGGCCTCGTCGGGACGCAGATTGGCATGGTAGCTATTGAACATGTTCATTGTGGTGTATATGCGGCGCATCACAAAGTCCTCGTCGCCCCACGACCGAAAGCCACTCTCCCGGCGACTTAGATATTGCTCCATAGTTACAACTCACATGCAAGGAACAAACAACAAATTAAATAAAATTGTTGGAAAACAATCGACAATCTTCAGCCCAACAATTCTGGGTACGGGTAGTACTTGGCGTGGCCGATGGGTGGCGCTTTCTGTTTACGATTTGGCGACGAGGGATGCGACGCCAGTTCGTGATGTACCAAAAATATAATTGCGAAAAACTAAATCCACTCGGGCAGATTGCTATATATATAGCAGCATTTGATTGGAAATATCCCTTGTGCTCTAGGAAATATTTCACTCTTAAATATTTTGTCAACTTTAACGCAAAATCAATAGCCTGGTTCCCTGTGGAACTGAACTAGAACCGTTGTTCTGAACCACCATGTTTCCGTGAAATAAACAAAAAACGAGAATTTTACTGCAAAAAATGAAGCAATTAACGATAAAGTGCTGTCGTTTTTGATCCACAATTACGAGTGAATATATTTAAAGCGGGTGCCAACATGGAGAGGTTTGCATTTAAGATCGATGCAGCGCTCAGAGCGAATCTGTACAAGATCTGCCGTCTCTGCGGCATCGATAATCCAGGCAAGGTGGAAATTCTGCCGCCCAATGAGGCCAATATTATAGACCTGGACGATCCAAGTTTATCCCAAAAGGTGTTCGAGCTGGTTGGCTTTACGGTAGGTCTAGACACGCCCAGTTTTTGGTTCGATTAAACAACGCCCTTTGCAGGTGACACTCGACGACAAAATGCCGCAGACAATGTGCAGCCTTTGCGTGGATAAAATCAATGATTTTTACGAGTTTAGGGAAATGTGCTATGCCACGAACAAGCAGACGCGCAACCTGCTGGGCCTCAAGCAGCTGGAGCCCCTCAAGGTGAGTGCATTCTTACGAATAAATGGGATCTTGAGAGTAAATGGCTTTTTGTCGCAGCTCGTGGGCAGCCAGCCCATGGTAAAGGCAGAACCGCAGGCGACGACTGGGAAGCGCGGACGAAAACGCAAGACGGACGAGAGCTTTTTGAAAGCCAAGATCCCCGAAATGCCAGAGGTAAAAAAGGAGCCCATGGCCTGGCGCAAGAAGCAGCGACTGCAGCAGACGCAGACTCTGCAGCAACAGCAGCAGCAGCTGCTGGTAACCAAAACGGAGCCAGAAATGTATAGTGAATATCCAATTATCCGAACAATTATCTTATTAACCATTTGATGCTCGCCCCACAGCAAGGACGAGCCCATGGATCCGGAAAACCGTCTCCGGCTGCCAGGGAAAAAGGGCCGCAAGGCGATATGCAGTGTCTGTGGCGAAAAGTTCGCCAGCAAGGATCTGGCCGATGAGCATAAAAGCGTGGTGCATGTACCCTCAATACCGCGCTACATTTGCAACGCCTGCAATCAGACGCATCACAACCCGAGCGACATTCGGGCCCATCAGCTCTGGCACAAATTGTCCAAGACGCCCTACAAGTGTCCGCTGTGCGACTCGAATGTGGCCAACAACTACGCCTTTACCCGCCACCTGCGAGAGCACACGCCACAGACACCCGTTCAGCTGCTCGTCCTCGACCGGGAGTGTCCACTGTGCAAGAAAACGTTCATCACAAACTTCTTCTACAACACCCATCGCTGTGCCATACGCAAGCGCAAGTGTGGCGGCTGCAACCGGACCCTCAACACGGAGGTGGCCTTCATGCGGCATGCCCCCGTCTGCGCAAAGATCTACCTTAATCACTCGAAGCACATTTTGCCCGAGGCAGCCAACACCGAATCACTGATGTGCATTAAGAACGAGGTGGAGGAGGTGGATACGCCCAGCTCTGGTGCGCCTGCCTCTGCTATACCGCCGGACTTTGTGCTGAACGAGGACATGCAGCCGGTTGTGGTGATCGAGCGCCTGGCCTCTCCCCTGCTGCGAGCCTCGGCAGAGCCGCAAAATATGCTGGGAGCCAGCAAGAGCAAAAATAGCGACAGAGTTTCCTCAAAGAATTATTTGAAGCGCGTCGACCAGCTGCTGAAGAACACAATGAGCACGTTGGTCAGCATCAAGCACGAGCCAGAGGTGCACATAAATGACACGATGCCGGCAGCCACAGTGCAGCCGGAAAGTGAACCGGAGGAGCAAGAACCGCCCAGCTTCAGCGATTTCCATGCAGCCAACGATGACAGCGATGAGGAGGAGGCGGATGCTGCGGAACCTGATACAATGGCTGCCAGCATAGACGACAATGTGCCCAGTGTATCGGTGAAGCAGGAGCCTCGCGATGAGGCCTACGAAAAGCAGTCGCCAGCTAAACAGGAGCCGCTGAAGCTTAAGCTGAAAATCACCAACAATCATGGCAAGCTGAACTCCTCGCTGATAGATGACCTCGACGAGGCGGGGCAGAGCAAGAGCAGCAAGAAGAAAAAGAAGCGCAAGCACAAGGAGCGGGAAAAGGAAGCCCAGAGCCAACCAAAGCCTCAGGATCCCACAATTGTTACCGTCAAACAGGAGCGCATAGACACCGATGATGTGCCCGACGCCAATCAGACGACAGATTTCCAGCCACAGGCCACTGTGATGACTAGCATTCCGATGTCCCATCTGGAGAGCAGCTTCAACGCCGACGACACAACGGAGCAGGACGAGGCAATGCCGCAGTGCCCGGAGTCCGAGGAAGATGTTAAACCCAATCGCATGGAACTCGATCGCCTCATGCAAATCACGCATGTCGCCAGCGGTGTGGACATTGCCGAGGAAGCCATGCCCATGCCCCTGGACAAGGCCGTTGAAGCTACGCCCGATGAGGCAATGCCCTCCGATAAGAGATTAAAGTCGCCGCCCAAGGCAAAAGCTGCCAAGCCAACTGCCCGTAAGAGTACTGGGGGGGCCACGCTCAGGCCGCCTCCAGCCGAAGAGTCACCTCGGCAGACGACAGCCTTGCTGCAGATTGTGGCCGTGGAAAGTGGAGAGGCCGTATCCTTCAACATGCCACCCGATGTTCGCATCAAGCCAGAGCCTCGTAATCGCGGCTATGATGACGACGAGCACGAGGACGAGCACACGCAGGAGATCAATCACAATGAGAAGATCGACGAGGAGAATGCCTACATAAACAGCCTAGACTTCAACAACATGACCGTGAAGCAGGAGAAGGACCTGGACATTTCCGATCCGACTGCAAATGACTCCCAGCCGGAGGCCATGCACCTGAGCCACAACGGCTTGGAGAGGGCCAGCGAGAGCGAGGACTCCGACGGCGAGGACAGTGCTTCTTCGGCCGATGAAGCCGAGGAAGCTATGGAGGAGGAGGAGGAGGGCGAGCGTATTTATCGCGAGATTGAATTGCCGTTACTAGAGCCTGAAATCGAAGGAGAAGCAGCCGCACAGCGGAGCGAAAATAAATCGGAAGAGTCCATGCAGGTGCAGGAGTCACAGTCGGAGAATCTGGAGCTAAGGAGGCCAATGGAAACTCAAGAGATAGTTGGCGGGGTAGAACTGCCAGCTGTGGAGATAGTGCAGCCACAGGAAACTCGCGCAGCAGATGCACCAGAGGAGATGCTGCAAGTATTTGGAGAGTTAAGTTCACTGCTAGAAGATTCCGGACTAATTGGGGAGGTAGATCCGCCGCAGGAAGCTCCCAAAGATGTTGAGCAGACACAACAGCCACTGGAAACTCCAGAATTACCTGCACAGGTTGAACCGCTACTGGAAACTCCGGAGGTGCTTGGACAGATAGACCCTTCGCGGGATATTCCGCAAATATTAAGTGTGCAGGAGCCAGTCAGTGCTTTTAATTTTGTAATAACCAACATCTGCAGCCAAGTAGCAGAGATTCCAGAAAGCGCTCCTGCGCAAAGTCAATTCCTCCCAAATGCTATCGCTCCCCCTCCGGATTCAGAGCCGCTGGATAAATCGGAGGAAACTGTGCGCGAGAGCAGCGATTGCCAAGCGGAGACCCTGCCAGAGATTACCCTCAATGCACCCAAAGACAATGAAACTCAGGCCCTGCCACTCAACTTCGAGGAAAGCAACTCCATCTGCGACGAGGAGCAGCAGAATGTGCTCAACCATCATCTGCTCTCCGAGCAGCAAGCACCACTCGATGGGAATGTGGAGCTGTCAGCCGAAGCTGAGGAGAAGATTTCGGCACCAGGGGAACAGGAACTGCGGGCACAACTCGTGGAGGCGGAGGGGGAGCTCCCTGGGCCGTCGGCGAGGCCAAACGAAGAGACTGAGAATCGCATCAATGAGCAGCAGCAGGAGATGGATCTGGAGGGCCAACGGCAGCCGCGCTGCCAGCTGGATGATGACTCGAACATCAACGAAATTGCCGAGAACAACAATAATGCCAACATTGAGCGCGAACTGCAGGACGATGCGCATGTGCCTCAGGGAAACGTTAGTCCTTAGAACATTACATATATGGAATTGGATGCTCTCAAGCCATCACACCATCTTGTTGCACTCCCAAGAAGCTGTACATATTAACAATATCCCACTGGAGGAGGAGGCCGAATGTGGCAAGGGAAACCATTTATACACACACATACATATACTAGTTTGTAGTCTATCGAACGGGCTAATCCACTTTATAAGCATAATTATTATTATGACGTTAGCTTTAAGTTAGAGATACAACAATTAATTATATAAATTATTGGCTTGCATACATGTAACAGTAGTAGATTTGTATTTTGATACAATACATAAATTGCACGAAAATTCACGATTAGTTCTGATTTATACGGAGGATCCCTTTTGAAAATTTGACAAATTTTATTATACCCACAAATTGTATTGATAAATAATTGAAACTGGTGAATCCTCTTCCTATTGGAGCCCCCCAAAATACAGTTGATTTTATATGTATATGTTTATGTCTTACATATTTTCTATTTATGAATAAAAGTGTACATGTTCGCTTCTTCTAAAACATATACACCAAATGCATGCTGCATCAATTCTAAGGATTCCAGTATTTGACAATCTTTGCAGCAAAGCTACTGGACCCTAGATGTCATTTTGATTTTACAACATTTTTTTTCCATCACATTTGGCTTGGAAACACAATTCAGCTCTTTGTGCTCGCTTTGTATATAACATTCAGTTCTACACTAGGAGTTGTACAGACAACATCTCAACGCTCAACATCTCTCGTTAATCCCTGTAAGTGAAAACCAAAAATAATAAAAATTAGTAATTAAATTCGATTGAACAAAAAACAGTGACACGAAATAGATTCGAAATCTGCATTACCTCAGAAAGTGTAACAACACCAACACTTAATATATCGTCGTCCATCATCGAACATTGTTCGCTTTTTAATTTATTTTCTGTTTTTAGACCCTCAATATATATCACAATTAGCACGATGAAGCGAATGATGTCTGGGATTTGGAATGGTGTCCACGCCTTGTTAGTATCTTCTGTTTCTAATTGCTTTTTATCCTTTTTTTATTTCTTCCAATTCTGATATTCGAATTTGCAGAATTGCTAAAGTGAGTAGTGGAGTGATCTGTGTGGAAAATGAGACAGTCGAAGAAGTTCCTATTCCGGAAGAAAATCAATCAGTCGAAGAAGTTCCTTTTCCGGAAGAAACTCAAATCCCTACTCTGATTCCAGACAAGAATTCAAACCCCGAGGGAGTGATCGCTGATGGGGAAAAGCCCGGGGACAATATCGTTAATGGAGAAAATCCCGAGGACAATAGCGAGGATGTGGAGATTCTGGATACGGAGAAGCCAATCGCAAACGAACAAGTGAACTCAATAGACGAAACATGTCTCTCAATCGTACATTATCCAGCTCCACCGCTTAACAATACGACGCAGGCGCCTATTAGAAAACAGGGAAAAAAAAGAAAATGGGAGCCAAGTTTGATCGAGAGCCCGTCAAAAAGAACCAAGATGTAAATCGAAAGGGCAGGACAGAAACAGTAGTATCCAAGAGGAGGAGCACTTCCCCTTGCTCGGTACGACACGTAAAACCCAAGCTACGCTACACCAGTTGGAGCATTACCAAGGGCAAGGGCTTCCATGTTGATCGACAGCCCTTGCCCTTGGTAAACCCAATTGGATTGTTCTTTAAATTTTACCTGGCAATTTTATTACGTTCGAAAATAGTGGCAGTGGAAGACCTATCCTACCGAAGGGATCAATCACAATGGAGGGATCGATTACAAGAGCAAAATAAGTTTATAAAATGAATTTTCTCTGTTAGATGTACACAACTTTATTACATAAATTATTGGCTTATATTTTAGTAGATGTAAGTAGTATGTATTCAGATACATAGATCGCACGAAACATCATTAGACATGCGGCGGCACATACAATACAATATTATTAATTCTGATCCATATAGATTTCTGGCGCTCATACAAGCTTATTGGTTTAGTAGTTTCGAAAAAGTTATGAAAATACATCGTTTAAATATTACATACAACACGCACACAGAAAGAAGGAAAACAAATGACTACGAATTTGCATTTTTGGGGGGACTTTTTAATTTTTAATTTTTGCAAACGTCCTGCTAGTATTTATGGAATTGGAATTAATTGTTGAGCAACTCGTTTTATATATTGAATTGAACCGTGGTATAAATCTACTAGTTTAAACATTAAACTTGCGGATGCTCGTACGTTTTTGGAACTGTTTTGGGTCTTAAGCACAGTGGATTTTAATTACATATTAGCATTTTCATGTGTTTATAGTTTTATAAAATATATATATGTATATATTCTGCTATATTCATTCAGTGTTAGGTTTTGCTCACTTTATCTATGGACAGCCCATCCGATAAAGTCGCAGTTAAAGTCAATTTCTGATGTATTCACAAAAGTCACAAAATTTGTTTGGATTTTGGTGTTCTCGTCGAGTTATTTTTGGCACTGATCAAAGTTTGCATTTCATTCATTTACATGCGTATATAGCTATGGTATATATGTATTATATATATCGTATTTAATTGAGCAGGTTTTATGGATATGCAAATGTGAATTGGAACAACCGAAAGCGGGCCACAATGCCGATAATACAGATACAGATACATATAATATAATATTAATCATCTGTTAGTACTTTTGTTGGTTTTGCGTTTGCATTTGCGTTGGCTATAAAATTAAATTAAAGAGGTATGGAAATTCACTAAACAGTATTTACAGGGATTTATCATCCATCGATCCATCCATCCGTCCAACGATAAACCAAAATGCCAAAAGCACATATTGAATTATTGCTTATATTTGGAATAGTGTCTGCCACATAAATCGTGTGTCATCTGCTGCTCAGCTAGTCTGCTGCCTAGTCCCACTCGCCGTCGTTGTCCGTGGAGTCGCTCTCGTCATCCGAGTGCATGACATGGACGCGTGCCGCCAGTGCCCGGCGCAAAGCATCGGCCAGGGCATCGGTGCCCCCTTCGCCACCATCGCTGCTGATGCGTTGGCTGCCCAGCTCCCGTTCAGCGGCCGGCTTCAGTTCAATGCCCATACGTATCTCAGTCATCAGATCGCTGCGCGAGTCGGCGCTGCCAGTGCTCAGAGCAGCCGCATCCACTTTCTGTCAGAGAAGAGGTCAAAATAGGGTTATCCTCTCAAATCTCCAGTGGTTTTATCCGCACTTTACTCACCTTCAATTGTGTTCCCTTGCGAATGGCGTCCATCAGGGCATTGTGGGAGTCCGGAGGCGCTGCCGCTGCCGCCGCTGCTGGGGCCGGGGCTCGTTTGGCTGCTTGGTTAGGTGCTTGTGTGGTCGTGATAATGGGTATCTCTCCAGTAGGCATTGGCGGGGGTGGTGGTGGTGGCGCCGCTGCTGGTGGTGGCGGCGGTGGTGGAGGCGGCTGCAGTGGAAAACAAAAACATTAAAAAACATTAATAAATGTCTCAGCCAGTGGTTGTGTCTTTGGGCTGCTTACCGCTACAGCGGGTGCGCTGACGGGTGGCGGCGGTGGTGGAGCACTGCCGATGGGTGGTGGCCGACTGGGTGGTGGAGGTGCACGCGTGGCACCCGGCACCGTTGTGGGCACTGGGGGCGGTGGCTGCCTGGCCGGCGGCGGAGGAGGCGCCGTTCTTTGGTTACCATTCTGCGACTGAGAGAACACAAACACAGAAGATGCTATAAGTAAACCGACTCTTGGGCTCCCTTTTCGTTCCCAGCACTCACATGATTATGGCGGCTCGGCACCGGGGGCGGCATGTGGGTTCCGCCCACTGGCGCTGGTTCCGTCGGGGATTTCTCACTCTCCTGCTTGACCGAGGCGAGGACATTGTTGCTCTGGATGAAGTCGTAGATGAAGGCGCGCGTGTCCCGATCCTTCAGCTCCATCTCCGAGACGCCCGCTTTCACAAAGATCTCGTTCAGCATCTCGTCGTCCTCGTTGCCCGTCAGATCGAAGCCCTTGTCCGCATCCCAGCCCACATGGCTGATGTGCACAAAGTTCGTCGGCTGGCTAATGTCCGCCTTGGTCACCTTGCGCTTCTTGTCCTTGCCCTGGCTGCCCAGGCCGAAGTTGCTCGACAGGAAGTTCTTCGTGGGCGCTGGCGTCAGTGTCACCGAATTGATTTTATTGTTGCGCAGCTGAACAGGCGCGCCGCTGTCCGTGGCCGACATGCCGCCGCCGCCGCCGCCACCGCCACCAGAGGACTGCATGGCCGGCGGACGCATTGGCTCGCGTGGCACTGGCGGCACTGGAGCATTGGGCGCCTGCTGACTCTTCTGGCGATTGCGCTTCTCCTGGCGCTTGCGATTGCGCGTCTCGATGGTGGCATCCACAATGCGGAAGAAAGCGTCGCACTCCTCCTCGGAGACAAAGTTCAGGCCCACATGACCATCCTGCCGAAGCACCAGATGAAAGGAGAATTAGCTGTGCATTTGTGCAGATTTTCTGGCACACTTACGCTGCCCTCAAAGGTGAGCAAAAAGGGTCGCGACTTGACAATCTGCATGCCATCGTAGACCTCGTGCTCCCAGATGAGCTCGCTCTTGATCAGGCAGTAGGCCCGCAGGAAGTACGACCTTATGGCGCTGTCCTTCACGAAGCACACCACTCCCGTGTGCTTCTTCTTCCAGTGCGAATGGGCATTGCCTTCGGTCTTGTATATCTGCACAACGGCCGTGTTGAGTGTCTGAAAGTGGATCAAAAGCAAGAGATTGCGTTACCATCATCGATAAACAGATAGAAAGGCCTCTTGCCTGTCCCCTGGGGCGATTATCTAATCGCGAGCCCCCCCAAAACAAAAGAAGTAACACCTTCAGTTTGCGCCTCATTTGAATGCAACGTCTAAAACTGTGAACACTGTGAACTGTCGCGTTCGAGTTGAAAAACCCATCTGACTTTCGGTTTCGCTGCCACCAGCCACCAGCCACCAGCCAGCTAGCCAGTCAGCTAGCCAGCCACTCTATGGCCCTACGCAAGAGTATCGCTCATTTGAATACCGATTAGCCATCAATCCCCATGGATCCCATCATCGTTTGGCATGGACAGCACGTAGCTCCATTTGATGGCTCTACTCCCCGCACAGAGCCAGAGAGCGAGACAGTTGCCAATAGTCTAGCCAAGACCTCTCCATAGAGTGCAACGGAAATGCATAATGTGGCTGGCTGTTGGGCTATTGGATTGAAGACATAATCGTTGAGGCATTGAGGCTTTGAGGCAGGAAATGCTGGCGACAGGAGGTGCTAGGCCACAGAATTGCCGCATTTGAGACCCTTTGCCAAAAGAATACTAGACAAAGCACAGATTGGCGCCAGAAAAGTCAAGGCCCAAGCCCCCCCAGTCTCGTAGGTTCTTTTCTCGAGGCAAGGCAAAGCCTCTTTCCCTCTCATTGATTGATAAAATTGTGTGATTTGTGGCAATAACATTTGACATTTGCCATGGCCCCCAGCTCTGGCCTTGAGGGCACTTTCTGCTAATTGATTCCGCCCTGGGCAGTGCTCCAAAAGTTTTACGTGCTGCTGTTTCACTGGAAGCACTGCCTGGCCTGCCTGCACTGGCAATCCAAAATTATCAATTAATGAGAGCATTAGAATGCCAGAGAGCTGTTTGATGGCTTGCGACCTTTGCTGCAAATTGCTGCTCGTGGAGATGGGGGATTATGTGAAATGTGAATGTGAAAATGAATGCTTTCCAACCCACATCCAGCACACACACACACAAGTATCTGTATCTGTATCTACGAACAAGTGCAAAAGTGTGAAATACATTTGAATTTTTATTGATGGCTTAGCAGCAGCCTCTGCCACAGCCTCTCTGTCTTTGTATCTGTATCTGCATCTGTGTGTGTCTTTGGACATACATAAGTAGCGCTTGTAAACAAACAAAAAATGATGTCTTGCCTTCTATGTAAAGGCTGGCTGTTTCTTTTTAAAAGCATAAAAATCGATGCCAGCAACCGCAACAAAAAACACAACTGTCCATTGCCACTGAACTCTGGCCAAGACGAAGGGGGGTAAAGCGGTACGGGTGCAAAGGGGTAGGGTACTTTAAAACGGGGCAATGCCGAGCATTAACCCATATGAGACCAAAGCTGCAAAATACTCGTACATTTATATGCTCAAAGGCACTGCAGACTCGGGGGACGGGACGGGGCGGGAAGGGCTATACGTGTACTCGTAAATGGTTCCATGCACTAAACAAATCGGTTGGAAGTATACTCTTTCATAGGGCCATTATCAATTTGAGCCTCAGTTTGCCAACCACCAAAGAGAGAAGAGAATCTTGATTGTTCGATGGTTTCGATCTGTCCGCCTGTTGCACAGACTTTGGGTGTTGCTTATGGCAGAATGTACATACTCTCCCCGGAAAATGGAGAGGGTAGGCACGCATGCTTTGCCTGTCGCTGAATACATTTCGTAGCACATAATTTAATCTTACAAGACCTAACAGAATTTTACTCAGCTATAATTTAGGGAATTTAGACACAAGTCGAACATCCATAGCTTTATTACTGTAATAAGTGACAAACCAGCACTCAAGGGTATTTGCATCCTCGATCATCAAATAGAGTATTTTTCTTTTTGTATACCACGTTGTTTTGTGGTTATTTATTAATGCAAATATTTATTTTTAGGTCTTAATAAATAAAGTGCGTGTTTCCTGGGCTATTTTTAGTATTTTATACATAAAAGTTTTCTCAATGGTGATTCAAATAAACAGAAAACTTCGTCTAAACAATCTCTTATGTATTTGGAATACATAAAAAATTATCGCAAACCCCGCGAACTATCTTTAATAACTACAACTAAGGTAGAGGCCGCAGCAAAATTTAAAATGTAGTATGTCCATCAATTAGAAAGTCCGGCTTTTGGGATATGTGCAAAAATGTGCGTTAAAAGGCGAGCAAAATGTTGCGACAAATGATGGCCATAACAACGAGCCAGTCCCCAGTCCCCTCTGCTCCCCTTGCAGCTAGTTAAGCTGCAGCGTTTCGTGTTATCAAACGATCAATGAATGGAGCCACAAACGACTATGTCATCAACCCAATATATAAACTAAACAAGAGAGTAAGTAGTGCAGTCCCCTCCCCCTGCCCTGTCCACTTTTGGACAAGTTCAGATGCAATTTTCCCAATGTTTTGTCAATGGAAAGTTGGTTTTGAAAATTGGAAACTATCAAAGCGTGGAATTACAATGCGAAAATGAGCAATGTTTTTCGTGTTGAGCACACACCATAATTATCCGCATAACAGTGCACGTTAATGGTTGAAAATATTTCAAAGTTTTCCTTTGAGGTGGAGTTCTTATCGGGGGGCTAGGCATTGGCCAGTGCTTCAGCGGATGGATTGATAAGATATGGGAGCCCAACTGAACGAACGCCCGTTCGTTATCGCCCGGGAACTCATGAGCAGTCAGCAATGAGCAATCTTTTGCGACTTTTTGGTTTCTCTTTCACTTAGCCCCAAGAAAATTGGCCAATGAAAATCAAATAAAATAACGAAAAACATCTGCCAATGGTCTTTGAAAGCTACTTTAAAGTAGTTTCTACTGATTAAAGTTCAGATAAATGGAGTTTTAGGAACAATTAAAACATTGTAGAGATTCTTTGGGAGCTGTTTCTAAAATAAAGGCGCGATTCTTAGTCAACTAAAAATGGGTGCAAATCAATAGTGAAGCATTTATATAGAAAAAGAGTTATCAGAGCTGATAAAAAGACCCAGTCGATGATAAGTAAATATAGTATATGTATAATCAGCAATAGCTCATAAAATAGAACCACACTAAAACAAAGTAAGGGACACAGTGATGAGTCTATTGAATTTCTGCCCGTTTTTTTTTTGGAAAGGTGAAAATGGGTTATTAAGCCAACACAGCTGTGCCCCGATATAGGGTTACAAAGGTTGGTTCTGAGAAGCATTCAGATTATGGCACATGACCCTCGTGGAATGGGCGACACTTGAGCCGCAGGAAGTGCTTCATCAAGCTCAATGGCTAAGCCGCTGAGAGAGACAGAGACAGAGAGAGATAACCACCGAAAGTGAGAGGAAGAGGAGGGGTGCTATACTCTGTCATTGCTTAATTATTAATCACATAGGTATGTGCATACATACATACATATGTACATATGTGTGTACGCATTATTCATCAAAAGCCAAAGCCACTCACTCACCTGACACTTTCTCCCGAGCATCTTGAAGACGGCCTCGTTCTCCTCCGGATTGAGCATCGTGCTGCTGGCATTGAGCTTGGGTCGAGACAGCGCTGCTGCCTGCTGGCCGTCCTGCGACGTCCTCATGTTGCTGCTCATTGATGCGACAGCTGCCCCGCTGGCCTGCCCTGCTGCTGCTGCTGCTGGTGGCTGCTGGATGGCCAAGGATGACCTGGTTTAGCTGGATAGATGGAACACACACACACACATTTCATTTCATTTACATTTCATTTATGGGAGGGCGAAAACAATACGCAAATAACGGCTGCGGGGCAGCAGCCACCGCTGGCTACTTGTCAACGGATCGGATGAATAAAGGGCACACAAAACAAAACAAAACGAAACAATACGAGACATAATTTTAATTTAATCATCAAATCACGCACACAGAGAGCTGGAGAGGGCGGAGGAAGAGCGCTGCTGATCTGCAGATGAGGTTGAAGCCCAAAAAAACGGTGGAGGCGCCCGGAGACGTCGATAACAATACGAATGCACAGTTATTGCGAAAAGACCAACAACTGGATTTGTCGCCCCATTCAAATGAAATATGAATAGTGGAAAATAAAAACACGGAGCAAGAGCGCGACCAAGTCGCGACGATGACAGCGACTGCGGCCACGGGCTATGCTATGACGACGATGGGCTGTAACAATCGCTGCTGCTCGAGTGGTTGAGTCACAGGTCTGCGAGTCAGCCACAGCCACACTCACAGCCACAACAAGCAGCTGCCTACCGCTTGGTTGGGCCATGCCATTGCTAAATGTGCTCTTATCTTTGGCAAAACCACTGATTAGGTTTGCGCATGTATCCGAAACTCCTGTGACCTGCTGCTGTGTGTGTTTATCGCAAGGTGCGTGAGCCAAAGTAAATGTTTCATGGAAAATGAAGCCACAAACACCGACCAGAATCAGACTCTCTGGAAAAGAGCTAATGCTAGGCACCAACACCTGTCCGCTCTCCAGGTGGGGTCGAAATTTAAATAGCTGAAGCAGCGCTGGCGCTCGCTCAAGGTCTTTCAGCGCTGCCGTCGCGCCGCGCCTCGCCTCGCCCTTCCACATCGTCTGTGCCCCCACCGACTGCTTTATGATGGGCTCTGTCTGTGTTTCGCATATGCACTTTAACAATCCATTGATTTTTTGCGCTTATTTTTATGCACTTTTTTTTACGGATTTTCATTTTTTGACTACGCACCACACACACACTCTCGTTTGCACTCGCTGCGGTTCGGTGCGGAGACTTGTATCGCCTTGAGGGTGATGCACATTTATTGCCAACTGTTTCGCGTCGTCTGCTGCATTGTAGAATTGTCGCCAGACGTTTCAGCACAAAAATAATCGTATATTTTTTTGTTTTTTGTTTATTTGGCACTGCCCCAGTGTGACCGCGGACTTACCGACAAAATATATCGTCTGACCCGCGGAAATATGCCCAACATATAATGTGACCGCACAAAAGTATTTTCTGAAAATACCGCATACCAGACGTCTCGTGTAGTGTCAAATGTAGCAAAAATGTAAAAGTCAGTTGTAAAAAGCACAATTTTGAATTTGAATTCCAGCCAAATTTTAGATCTATGAAATGCAAAAACATTCACTTTGCACTTGCTTAATTATGTGAATGAACTATTGAATAAAACAACATCAGTGAAAAGAATTGAATACATATAACCAAAGATTCTGACCACAAGATTGAGTATAAGGAAATGCATACATTTGTGAATAGCTTCTAGACTCTTGGAGTTGTTCCAACGCTGCCATCCGTTGCCCCGCAACAAGTGCTCAAGGAAAGCTTTCACTTTCGCTTTCGCTTCTCTCGTGCTCCAAATTGGATTTTGTGCTGCTTGTTTTTGCTCCTTGCTCGGTGGTTTTTCTGCTTTGCTCTGCAATTATAGCTGATGGCGCTCCTGGTGGCCCCCACTCTGAGCGGGGGACAAATTGTCTTCGTGGCATGTGGCATGTCTTCGTGGACTGGACCGAGGCATGTGTGCCAAGCTGGCACAGCTGATAATTGCAGTAGCAGTGCCACTGCCTCCTGCAATAAAAGTCACAATGACGACAGCTCACGACACATGGCCATGCCCTGCTCCGTGCCCTACACCGCTCCCAGGAGTCTCCTACCGTGAGTGTGATTGACTGCCGGCGGGCCTTCTCATGTACATACATATGTACATATGTATACATATATCGTGTCTGCCGGGGCAGTACCGTGTAGGTATTGTTGAATTCAATTTGCTGTAAATGTATTGTTGGGCCGGCTTGTGGTCGCCTCTGTTGCCTTTGGTTACAGCTCATTAGCAGCAGCAGCCCACAACAAAAGCAAACGCTGATAAAGCTTTCGGTTACTTTGTAAATTTCAACTCCTGCGATCGCATTCAGTACAGTGAATGCTGGCTAAAGTGGCTCAAACATCGAGAAGAAATATCTCTGTACATACAATGGGAGCAAGCCTATTTTCTTTACTCAATTATTTGGCATTTTGAGGAAATTTTATTAAGAACGCTAATGTGAAATTCCGAATTATGATTTATTATTTATCAGATTTTTTTTTAGCTGAACTCAGACGAATAATTTCATGATGTTGAGATCTGATATCCAATAGAATCAGATACACAGACATACGGAAAACATTAGCTCATGCAGTTATTGGATTACGTGATATAGTCATCCGATTTGTCATCTGTCATAAACAGGTTCTGTTTTTTTTTATTTCAAAGTAGGCTATCCAGTTTATGGTTACACGAGGACTTGGAATATGATTTTCGAAAACATTTGAGTACATCTTACACATTCGTAGGGAACACACGTGATACGTTACACTAAACTGTAAGTTAAAAACAATTACATATTGTTGCAATAAAATTAAAAATTAAATTAATTAAATAAAATAAAATAAATTAAATAGTGCAATTAAAAACTTTCACTTATTGTTGATTTTGGACGTTTAGTGAATGGCGCCGGCTCGATGTCCCAAACGACCAACAAATGCATATTTAATGTGGATGAACACTTTAGGACGTCGTCGCATCAAGATGCTACATCCCCAATACAACTTCACCCAAACCGCCAAAAAAGGCAGTGATCTATGGGCGAAGATGTGCGCGTACGATAAATCTATGTGGCAAACATATGCGTCCGTGGCAATGATTCAATATAAAGCAAGGCTGAGCGCTTGGAAGTCCCAACAAGCTCAAATGAAGTCGTGCACAGTCTCAGGTTGTCCCTCGTCTAAACAATGAAGCAGCAGCTATGCAGTCACAGTTCAATAGAAATTACAGACTACACTTTTTTAAAGAAATTTAATGTTTCGGATGTTATAAATTGAGAATATATACGCACATACATAGACAAAAATTCTATTCGAATTTTTAGCACTATCTTCAGCCTGTTTATTCAACTACGAGTGCATCTAAACGAATAGAATACAATGCACAAGCAACAATGACCCACTGGTTGAGTGTCCCTCACAATGGGGCTTAACTGTACACCTGAATAATGCCTACAGGCTGCGTGGTTGTATATATGTGTATGTGTGAAAGCTCAGGGCTCAGGACTCAGGGCTCAGGCTTTAATTGCCAACCGGCTGGGCGCTCTGTTTGTCTCGCCTTTCTGCTGCCAGTGTGCCTTCGCCTTCGCCTGTGCCTGTGCCTCCTTGGGCTCCCATGCCTCCTGGTTCTGGGGATGTGGATGTGGCTGTGGCTGTGGCTGTGGTTTGGATTTATGCTTGTTCTACATGCATGTTGTACAAACAATTTAGCTGTAACTGTAGCCCACACAACACCCAACACACACACACCACCCAACACACACACACTCATACACCATCCCGTGGTAGGCCAGGCCTGACGATACGTATGCGTGCTGGACGACCTCCATTTAACACCAAACGTGTCATTTGTGGCCATTTGATGGTTGCCATTCATATATTTGTGTGTGTATGTGTACGGTATACTCTGCTGCTTTATGAGGCTTTGGCTGCATTTTGTGGTCTATTAAGTGGCTAGCAACTAAACCGAAGAAATAAATAAATACATATGCCATCATCATCTTTATACGACTTGTGCAACAAGGCGTATGATCGTTATGCCTCAAGTGAGCACTGAATGGCCCACTAAAAGGCCAAAGTGCACTGCGGAACTGCTTGTCAGGAGGTTGGACCAGGGGACCAGGGGACCAGGGGACCAGGAGACCAGGAGACCAGGGGATATAAACTAAAGTTCATTAAAAGTAAAATCTTAGTAGCGCACAGGGGTGCTGGGGAAACGAATGTTGAATGCTCTTGAGAAGCTGCACGAGTACTTGTTGGGAAAAAGTTATGATGTACGCACAGGAGTTACACTCTGTGAAAGTTCTGATGTATGTATCTCTGTATAGTTCGTTGTGGCAGGACTTAGCTTGATGGTAAAACTTGATCCCCGCTCTAAGGGCACCAATTGATCCATTATGCACACATCTCCTCATCCCCATCATACCCCCCAACAATAAAGAGTATGTAATAAAGCAAGGGAGAAGCAGAATGTGGCAACCGAGTCCACAACCAAGATGTTTACGACGCTGCTGGCGGGGCATGCAACAGTGGCAGAGGCCACGGCAACCTCATGAATGTCGACGGCTTCGCCTACGCCACAGATAAAAGCGTCCAAGAAAACTGTTGCCCACCCTCCAAAGGAAACCCTGAACACTCGGCAGAAGCAACAGTAAGCCAAGGCGACAGACAGGCGCACACATGCACGGACCTGTCTATCTAAGCCTAAGCCTCCTCCAGGTTATGTGAGTGTATTAAAAGAACATAAAAAGAAGGAACACAACAGAGGGAGGAACATTTAAAAAGGAGAAACGGCAGTGGGGATGGGGAATGCGGAGTGAAAGTGAGCAGTGAGCAGGGGGTCGCACAGATACACAAATAAACAAATTAATAAAAGGCAAATAATGAAACACAAAAGAAGCACGAGTCATAAATTAAATAGAAACAGCGAAAATTACTTACCCAAAAGGCACCAACCAGCGGGTGCCTCAAACAGCAGCAGCACAGGAGCAGCAGGAGCAGCAAACAACAAAAAAAAGTGTCCTCCTGCGTTGCTGCTGTCAATTTTTCGTAGCATACACACAGGCGGCAGCGTCTGTGTCAAAAAACTTTACCAAAAGAAATGACTGAAGGATGAAGACGGGTGGCGGGCAATGGTAGGAAATGTGGCAGGAGCTAGTGGGTGCCAGCACGAATAATCTACTAGCGATTTATTTGTTGCTGTCGCCGTAGACAGAGACAGAGACAAAGACAGAGTCGGAGTCGCAGTCGGAGCCAGAGCTGAAGCCACCCCATCCCATCGGATGTAGCTGACTGATATTTTGGTTACTTCTTTTCCATATTTCTATTTGTGCTTACTTTCAAGTAATGCCGATGCCCATGCCCATGCCCATGCCGATGCCGATGTCGATGCCAATGCCGAGCAGCTGTCGGCAGCGTACAACAAACATCGGTGGCATTATGGTCGGGAGTCGGTGCTCGGCTGTGGGTCGCAGTCGTGCGTTGTCCTTTGCTCCTGTCGGTTGTGTACGCGCTCCGGAGCCTAACTGGGGCCGCCTCGATATTCTCCGAGTCTCCGAATCATTCTGGCAACGGGCCGTGCACACACCTGTGCGCTATCACCCTCCACCGGAGAGTTAACGTAAGCAAATTTGCACGTAAATTGCGCTAAATTATCTACAAAACAACAAAAATTTGCCTGACGCGGATTTCATCGCGTGTGCCCTCCTCCATCCTCCTCCTCCCTTCCAAAGGCCGCCCTCCTGGCTGTGTGCTTTGGAGTAAAGTAAAGTAAAGTAGAGTACACGAGGAAAGGCAGGAAAAACACGAAATAACCGCTAAGTGTTTTACAACTCGGAGGCGTTAAGTTGGCCATCCCGGGACCAAGTCTCTCCGGAGCCCAAGCCCAAGCAACAGCAACAACAACAACAAGTGCGAGTACGATGACGGCAAACAAGAATCTGTGTAAGCAGTTTTTGCCTGGGGGCCTTAAATGCCCGACAGGGCGCTAGTTTGTCAACACTTTTTGCCCAAGTTTAAGTACCATCTCCGGATCTCTTCCATTTTCATGGCTGGCTTATTGAATTTAAAGCAGCGCAAAATACGTGTGAACTACACTTGATAACAGTGAAAGTTATCCAGCAAATGGAGACTAAAATCGCTATTAAATTACGCATAGAACGGAAATGACAAAAACAACTTTCATTTATGGCTCATAAAAAGATAAATTTGTTAACAAATTTAACGAACTATTCGACCTTTTTGTGGGAAAACAGCTTATAATTATGGCAGCATTTATGGCATTGCTTAATTGATTATTTTCTGATGATATTTCAAAGTCCAGCTTAAAAAAGAAAATTCAACAATGTGCTTTCGCTTGAAGCACATCGCACAGGATTTTGCTGAGTTGGGCTCTTGAGTTTTCTGTATGGGATTAGGCCTGCGGCAGTTCAGCGACTCCCACCAAGGTCGTGCCACTTGTCAGCAGGTGGCATTACTCCATGGCTGGCCACATTTTATTTTGTTTGTCAGCATTTACATGTCGTCCGTCCCTGATTCGTTTCTGCCCCGCCCCCCCCAGCCCCCGGCTGTGAACGCGGCCGCGACATTTGTGTTGTGTTCTCCCGTTGGCTACGCATAAATTTTAATAGTTTTCCTATGCCCTAAGTGGCTCTCGATGCCGATGCCGATGCCGAAGTCTGTAGGTTGTTTTGTTGCGGCATCGAGTGTCTAAAAATAAAGTCCGGCCTAGGCTTATCCTTGCCTTGAGCTGTTCAAAATGGAATTATAAATATTTCACGTACCAAAATATAGACATGACCGACTGAAAAGGTTTTTCCCACACACAAACACACATACACTCGAGTAGATCTCTGGTTTTTCCCCACACCCACACCCACCCACACGCACACACCCACTCTGGCTCGTACTTCTCGTAAACCCACTCCTATGTCTCGAAATGTTTCTCCCACATTCTATGCCTCCCACACACAAACACACAAACACACACAGACACAGACGTGCATGGAAGGAAGGTAGGAAGGTGGGTTATTTATTCGCGCATCAGGCACTCGTGGGCCTGTTTAATCATAACGAAATGTGGCTCACCTGAGGAGTGGTGGTGGTGTTGGTGTTGGGGGTGCGTGTGTCGTGGGTGCTGAATTCTGGTTTGGATTTCCATTAGCGCATTTCATTTTAATTAAACTGGCAACTGTCACGTAGCCTGCCTGGTTCGTATCACATCGATTTGTTAGGCATTAGCCCAGTAATTTGCCTGCCTTCACCCTCTCCCACTCCCACTCCCACCCTCTCTCTCTCTCTCTGTGTAAACCACCAACTTTTGCTGTCCTTGTCTGTGTATTTTTTTTTCTGATTTGGTCTTACGGAACTATGAACAAGAAGTTGATAAAGTAAACTTTTCCAAAAAGTTCAAAAGTTTTCCGGCAAATTGCGGTCGGCCAGAGGAAATACTCCCTGCCACACAAGATGAAGGCAACTTTCGGGGACTGCTCGTACAAGTGGAATTTGTGGCCACAATTTCAATATTAATTTCAGCTGAGCCACCCCCCTTTCTACTCCCCCTATCGGGTTTATTACGCCCACCTGGGCAGGTAGGTAAACAATCGAAATTTTAGAAAAATAACTTCCAGCCCCCAATAACCAAGACCCTGATCGCTTATCGCTTAACAATGTGTAAACTCTCTGAACGAATTATTTTCAATAATATTTTGTTGGCGTACGTACCTTGGGCAGCGATTGTTGGAATAGTTTGAGCAAAACTTTCGGGGCTTTCCCCCCAGAAAAAGGGCAAACATACATATGTATGTGCTTGTCGTATTGTACATACGCACAGGCTACAAGGAGCCGCCTCGATGGCTCTCAATTAAACGTATTTTGAGCGTTATGTGCTTCACCACCAACTTACTGAAAAAGTTTCTGTGGGGGAGCACTTTTGGGTTTGGGTGCCAGAAGCCGGGGGGATATTCCCAAAAACTTTTTCAATCGATGCCACAAAAGCAGCGCAAGGCAATTAATGCCACAAACGGGGCAAAAAAAAGAAGCACTAGCTAGAACAAGAGGGCAAAGAAGGAATCGACAGTGGGATACCTGGTACTCTCAGAGCTGCTAAAGGGTGCATCTACTAACAGGATTAGTGTCCTCAGATTGCATGGCTTGATTGATATTAATCGCGTAAATATATTAAAATTGTTTTTGCCACAGCAATCTCTACATATCGATCGTAATTATGATCCAGGGATTTCGTTTCTATAAGCAAATTTAAGTACGAGTCTTACCGCGTAGTCTTTTGCTAATGGGTGTATGGGGGGGTATGGTAAGTGAGAACAAAACTGCGAGTGGAAATTGGCGTGTTTGTCTGCGATTGTTGTTCGTGTTCTTGTTGCGCCTCCGGCATGGGATGGGAATGGGTGGGATTGTGAAGGGGGGATCGTCTGCTTTTGAAGTAGTTCATTAAGTGATTGTTTGATTGATGGTGCCCCGAATGAGTTGTCTGCATCTCCATCTTCATCTGATTTGATTTTCATTGCTCGGGACCGCAGTTGGCCTTTGGCTTCATTTGTTTGGTTTTTAATTGGCCAGAACAACGGGGCTAAATAAGCGGCTAACTAACTGTGCTGAGAGGAGGCTGATAATAGTTTGGACGGGTCTGGGCACGAATCGACCTTGCATGGACTTGCAGCTGAACGGACGAATGGGGGGGGGAGAAACGGCGGCAGAGTCGGGCGCCTCCCTGCTTTTGTTTTGATTGATGACCCAGCTGGAAATAAATTTGAGTGTGTGCTTGATAAGCTTATGCTCCATATATATACCATAATGGTCCTTTGTCTGGCAGTTGATTGAACGGTATTTCAATTAGGGGAAATTGGCATCGTTGCGCGCCCCTCAAATAGAATCGACAGGTTGATGGAATAACTGCCCAAGCGCGGCTCTTGAAATAATTCACAATTAAATATTACTTTCAGCCACAAAATCCAATCAAATTTTGAGTGAAAGCCAATGCAATTAATAATTGAAATTAGTCAAATATTGATGGACAATTGCATGGCATTCACTGCAAAAGGAATATCCGCTTCGACTATGGCTTTTATTTGTTAAATATTTTGGGCAAAAGCATTCCATTTACACGCCAATCAGCCGACGTTTAGTCATTCATTCCATTTGTAGATTCAATTATATACATGATTAGAGAGACACGAAATACAATTCCAGCAACCATCGAAAATCATTCCAAATTACGTATACGCACGCCAATGCGACTGCGACTGCGACTGCACAGTGGCAGTGTACGAGAATGTATGCCCAGCTAACTAGCTGCCAGCAAATAGACACATGTATGTTTGGTGCTATGGAGAGAGATACAGAGGCATACAGGACAAAGGATACGAGGCCATTGTATGGATGAGTGCTGAGGGAAAGGAATCACCCATTCATAAACACATCTGTCTCCCCCCCCTTTGCTCATCCGTCAGCTGGATGGAGTTTGGTTAGTCAAACGTTTCGTTACATTTCGCTGGCTAAAAATACAGGCAGGCAGGCAGTCAGGCAGGCAGGCAGGCAAGCAGGGCTCTGTGTTTCCGTAAGATACACACTGTGCAGGAGTGGATGGGGATCCAGGTTGGTTGGCACTGCCACTGCCACTGCGCTCATCTAATTATAGCTTCATTACGGCGCTGCCTGATGGCGGGAATGGTCTCGGACCGGCCGAAGGACAAACTGCTGTCCAAGTAGGCCATGTGCCAGCTATTGGGCTTTGGCCTAGACATATTATTATCCAGCCAGCTGGGTAGTTTTCACAGCTCCCAATGCGTCTGACAATACCCCACTGCCAACAGCCAGCAGAATCATCGTCATCATCGTCTGCATTACCCGGGGGCGATGATAATGAAGAAAACAGCGCGAAATTGCAGCCATTAGTTGGCCCCAAAAAAGCCATTGAAGAGGCCCAAGAGTGTTTACCACTTGGGCGCTGACATTTTTCTGGAAAAAATGTGACACAACACACACACACTGACACATACATATGGGCGGGGCAGCAGCGAGGAGACGCAGTGATTTGATTGTATTTGATTTGCCTTCACTTTTCGTGTGATTTTTCGATTCTTTTCTCTTGTTTTCGGAGCTCGTGTTGACGCTGATTGAATACAAATACAAATACAAACAAATGGTGCTCACCTGCATGTAAATAAAAGCTTTAATACATCAACAAATAAAGGCATGTCTAACAGTCACCTTGCCGCTCAGCCGCACAGCCACCCAGCCACCTATCCACCCACTCCCCACAGCCCCCACTCTCGTTGCGCCCGCACATCCGTTTCCGTTTCCCTTTCTGTTCAATGTTGGGGACCAAATTCGATTTTCAACATTTTACACTTTGATTTTCGGGGCTGTTTTGTTGTTCTTATATGGCGATGTCCTTGTCATTATGTGATTTTGTATTTTGCAACAATAGAATCAACTTGAGAGGTGGGGGAGGGTAGAAGGTAGAGTAGATCCTTAGCCCTACCTTTCGGAGGGCTTGTCGCCTTGAAAATTCCCCGTAGAGCATTTGACTTTAATGGCGTTCGGCAGTCAGAGTGTATTGACATGTTATGATGCGTGGCCAACAGCGTACACATACTCAGACGTCTTATATATGTATATACACGAGCATATAACTATATACTGATATAGCTTTATATCTGCTGCGTGCGTTGCCTGTCAACACACACTGTCCTGTGCCGTGCCATGCCTTGCCTTGGTCTTCCCTCAGGAACCAGAGCCAAAGCAAAAAAAAAAAACCATTGCCGGACCCCGATTCGATCTCTGCTTTACTTCGAAGTTCGAACCCAAGCCAACCCGCCTCCCTGCTGCAATATACCCCCCCACAAATATATTAATTCAATCACTTTCGCTGCATGCCCCGTTTTATGGGCAGTTGCCCGGCTCTGACCTTATTATATTCGCTTGAAGCACATTTATGAGTTTCAGATTCGGTTTTTGGTTTCAAAGATGAAACTTTAAATTTCCTTCCTGGCGTTGGCTCAAGGAAATGCCCCCCCAAAATCGTAAACCAGACAAAGGACAGGCGTCAAGACCGTCGGGATGTATCTATATCTAAATCTCATCCCTACTGGTGCGGCATTAGATGCTGCCTCTGGCTGTTGTTGTCCTGTCTGTATTGTTTCTTGTCAGCTTGAATTTTTCGTGATTTTTCATGTGCACACTGCCGCGCCGCTGTCTGTCCGCCGAAAGAAAAGCTGAGCTGAACATTGTTTCTGTTTTTCTCTCTCAGTTTTCCCACTCAATATCCTTGCCCCAAGCAATCTACTCGCTCCGCTCTAGGAGGGATATGCTAGGGATAAACTATGGTTATGGTAGCGGTTTGCGGGGAATGTGAATGTGAATGGGGATGAGGATGAATATGACCTTTGCTGACAATCGGTTTCCATTTCCAAATCGCATTATATATGCTGCATCAATAAAAGTTAAATTGTCCTCCGTCCCAGACTGCGGGACTGCGAGAGCATCAATATGGGATTTCATATTTGTCTGTTTAATATTTCAGCTTGGCCGTGGAAAGGATATCTGGGTTATATATCCACATCCTACACACAAATAAAAAAAGGACACTCCAATGAGATTGTGTGGCACAAATAAAAACGAAATTAGACTGTGTGGCAGCAGCAGCAGTAGAAGCAGCAGCAGCGGGCTGATTGAATCCCGAATTGAGTTTGCATTGTGCAGAAGTTGAACAATGATTCACTGCACTCGACGACTGCTGTGACTGCTCATGATAAATCATCTATTGAAAACCATTTGCAAACTATTTTTAGAGGAAAACTTTTGGTGTGAATTGAATAATTTATGGCTCTGTTGCTGTTGTTTTCCGTCAGCAAGTCAGGCAATTACATTTAAATATAATCAAATTAATCTATTTTCGAACATATTCCCCACTACTTTTTGGCTTATTAAAAGTCTATTTATGGACACGTTCCACTTGAAACTGTCTGGCGGTCGTAGCTCTTACGAGTACGTGTGTATGTACCTCCCTTCAGACAGGTCTATGACGCCTCCACAGCGCTGTCTGATATTTAATAAATGAAATGAGAGCAAAGAAAGTTTAGACATGTAAGTGATTTGCTGGCTCTTTAAATTAAATCTCAACTTTTGGCCAACTTTTAACTTTTCCATTGAAATGCCATCAAGTTGTGTGTGAATATTCCTGGAAGAAGTCCCCAAAAGTCAAATTCAATCTGTGAAAAGTGCGTAATTGCAGGGCTAATGGTTCGGGAAAGTTGGCCCCGAAAAAGACATCACCCAATGCCAATGCCAATCCCAATCAAATGTGTTTTTCTTTGTGTGTGTGTGTGTGTGTGGGGGGTGGTAAATAAAATAGGTAGAAAATTGCTGGAATATTAGCCAGGAAAATGCCATAAAAATGTGCTCGCATTTATACAGTGGAGTGTGCTTGGGCGTCCCATAAAAAGCCAGGGACTCGAGAGCAGAACAAAGCCAGGACCAAGTCGATTCACTTGCGTGCCCCTACACATCGAAGCGTGGCATTCTTTTTTTCTTTCTTTCCGTTTTTGTTTTTGTTTTGGGGCCAGTCCCCTTAAGAGACAAAGGCTGTGGGACACACAGATACACACATACACGTACAGAGATACATGCATGGGTATAAATGCAAATGGCAATTGACTTTCACTGCGGATTTCGGGTGGCTCGTTCTCGTACTCGTACCCGTAGAAGGTAGTGGGGTCCTTGGAGGGTGGGCCCAGGCACAATGTCAAATTCAATCGCCAGCGAAGGTCGCGCACTTGGCATGAAAAGGCCAAAGCCAAAGCCAGAGGCAGAGTCAGAAGCAAAAGCACAGAGCCATCGACATTTACTATCGACTTAGGTGAGTGACTCGACTCCGATTCCGATTCCAATGCCGACTCGAGACGGATGCGCAGACGGACTCGGGGAGCCTGGCTGTGCCACGTACGTGATTGAATGCTAATTGTTTGGGCACTGCAGCAGCCACTTCTTGGGGCGAGTTGCCTTTGCCGTTGCCATTGCCACCTTTCCTGTTCCTGTCCAAATACAGTTCGACAATTTTGCGCTTCGTTTGTCAATGTCATCGTCGGGCGGAACTTTTGAATTGTCGTCGACTTCTTGGGGCCATACAATTAATTAACGCTAATGAAGCTGCTGCTGCCTCCGCCGCCTGCTCCTCTGCTCTTCCGCCAACTGTTTGTCTGCCAAAGTTCTTGTTTGTGTTGAGTGGCACATCAGGCGAGGGCGCCAGGGCGACAGGACAGGGTATCTGCACGCTCAAGGTCCTGGTAGCTGTGTGGCGGCAGGTTGCAGGTTGCTCAGCTCGCAGCCAGCTTGCAGCTGCGGATAACAGACAAAACCAAAGCCAGGCACTTGTGCCAAGAGCAGAGCAGGCTGCCTCCGGGCCCCCCACATGCCCGCTGAAACAATCAGCACAAAAAGTAACAGCAATTGTGCAAAATACTTTCCTGTGTTTTTAGTTTTTAGTTTTCCATTTTCATTTTTCTGCCATCACCAGAGAGAGCGTCCCTCCCTCTCCCCCTGTGATTGGGGTATGCTACTTTTTACACTACAATTGGTAGAGTAACTTGAGCTACTAAGTACCACCTAACACGCAAAAGTATTATTTATTTTTATTATATTTATTTATATTAATTATTTATTTATTATTTATTTTAGGCTAAACATTTTTCTGCACCAACGACTTAAATAGTATTATCCAAAGCATTTAACGTGAATTAATTTGTGTGTGTTTGCTTTGAGCTGTGAGTCCAGCCCGTGAGCTTATTGAACTGAGACTTCGAATTTTGATAGTGGAATTCGACTAATCATCTGCCTAACGACGCTATTGAGACTTCCAGTCCTCCAACTTCTTCTTATAGCTGAGCATTGCCAGAGAAGCTTTAGACTTCCAGTTGTCTTTCTGCTCCTCCCTCATCTGCCGCCAGATCTTGCCCGCACGTCTGCCCACCTGGGTGACGCTGTAGTGGGGATACCGCTGCTTGATGCAGCGACGTCCCAGTGTGTTCAGCCACAACATATATGCCGAAACCGGGCGCTTAGGACGAGGCGACATGCTGATTAATTCCGCCGTTCAATATTTAAAATCAAAATATACGTTGGCTCTACACAATTATGTTAGTTGAAACGGAACAAAAATACTATTAGTTTTTTAAACAGAATATGAATTTGGTTGAGCTTACAGTTTTGCGGTTGTTGTGTTCCTTGTGGAATGCGAACGTTAAACGAACAATTTCCGACACTGATATTTCAAGACGTCTAAATTCCAGCAGGGTTTAAATCCAAAATAATTACGAGCTTTGTAAAAAAAAATTTGTTTTGTTGAGTCTACAATGTGAGAGTGTGATATTTGATGTTTCCCGTATGAAAGCTGACGATGTACTGGAATATTATTGAAAATTATATACAAAGGGATCGGTTAATCATTGACAGCCTACTTTGTGTTGGAAAAAAAAACAAATCTATCAGGCTGAAAGTTTACACCGAACCTGTTCCCTGTAGATGTATTAAATAATTAAGTTTGAGCCTGGAGATGTGGCAGCCCAAGACGTCAGCTCTCATGGGAACAATGGCTCTGAAAGGGTATTTAAATATTCGTTTCGCGAAGAAAGTCTTTCCTTGCTGTATTTGTTGTGAGTGTGGTGTCCTTGATAAGGATGCTTCTTTTCTATTGTTAGCTTGGCATTTTAAAAAATGTTCCCAACGTGCAGCAGCGTTCTCTCTCTCTCTCTCTCTCTCTCTCTCTCTCTCTCTGCCCGACTCTCCCTCTCTTGCCTTGAACCAGCGAGCGGCTTTTGAAGTATGTTTGTATGTTGCATGACTGCACGTGCCTCTACGCCCTGCCACCCATCCCGCCCTCACATTCTGCCACTCTGTCTCTGTCTTTGTCTTTCTTCTCTTCTCACTCGCACTCGGAAATAATTTGAAATGCAAAATCAGGCGAAAGGCAGGCACAAGGCGGCAGTGCGGACTGCAGACACCTGCTCGCCGTCGCCGCCGCAATCTGTGGGTCCAGTGGGTCCATTGGGTGTTGTTCCAGTGCTGTTCGGTGGGTCCTAAGCACACTCAAACATGCACAGACATGCATGGAAACATACATCTTACAGGCAGCCACAAGCTCGCTGTTACGAGTGCCAGTACACCCGTGCATACCATGAGAGTGAGAGTTTATACATACATACTTACGCAGTACTCTTCGCAGCAGCTGAACGGCCAGTCGTGCGTAGCTCTTAACAATTTGATACCCTGTAGCTGTGCACGAACAGGCATATACGCGACAGCTCACGCTTTGTCTAGCTTGTTGCTTATGTTTAATTTATTCCACGCAGCGACAGAGAGCAGCACCCTGTATTTCAATTAAAGCGCTGGAGACACGTTTCAGCCGTTATATTTTTGTGTCTGTCATTCCAAAACCTCTCATCACGAGAGTCAGCAGTAAAGCTATGCGATGTAAATTTATTTTAATGTAGCCTGGCTGCTGCGTGTGTAAATTTGGTCAACCCAACGCACCAGGAGTGCCTGGAACGCCACTGAAAAGAGGCAAGCAGGACACAGGACACAGGACATGTGGGCAAACAGTTTTCACACTTTTTGGCTTTAAGCAGGAGTTGTAGTGCAAGCGTAACCGTAACCGTAACCGTATAAATGTTATAAACTACTGCCGGAAGCGGGGTCACATGCATCATGGATCGCAGTGGGGAGCCCTGCCCTGCTGCCCTGCTGCTCGGCGTTCAAATATTCTCAAATATTCAACAGTTACGAGTATGAGCGATGGAAGCGATGGATGCCAGCGCCCCGAGATCTGCTGCCATGGAATGCAGTTACAATGCAAATGGCAAACTGCAGACACACAAAGAATACATATGTACATACACATACATGTTGTATGTATTGTTATTCCTGTGAAATATACTGCAGTTATGCTGCAAGATAAAACTCTGAACATACTCTGGGCGCGGGTGTGGGAGGAAAGCAGCATCAGCAGAAGCGTCTGCGGCTGTGGCTGCGGCTGTGGCAGGCATCGAAATTAATTAAAAATTGCATAACCGCCACTTTTACGGAAAGGCAGAGGCTGGCAGGTCTTTACTGTGTGTGCTTGTTTGTCTGCCCCTTTGCCGAGGCGCTTCTTAGTGTCTGACCCAATTTCCGCTAGACAAGAATGCAATCTAATTAGCGGAGGGAGTCCTCTCCTGGCAAACAGATAAAATTACTGCAAACATTATGAAATTTATTTGCCATACGACATGGAAAAGGATACCTCTCCAGCTCTTTGACCTGGCCATGCTGTTGTGGTTATTGTTTAAATATAATATGTGGCAAAAGTCCATGAAATAAACCGATATTTTAGGGCCTGCTTGTGGCTGCTATTATTATTTACTATATAATTAATATGTACATTTATTAATGCGCAGCTATTGTATATCAATGCCATTTGGCATTCATGCATATTTGAAACTGTAATTCCTATTTTCTGCCTGCAGGGGGCGGGGTGTGGGACTGGCAGTGGGAATGCGCACTGCACTGTTTGTTTTTGTCTGGAAATTGCCAGTAAATTTGGCTCAAATTATGCAGTTCATTATTCAGACAGGGCTCGGAACAGGCCATGCCGCCTCCATGGCTAGGCCGCAGGAACCGCAACAGCAGCAGCAGCAACTGACCAAGAGCTGGAGCAGCCGTCAACGCTGCTGTCTGCTGTCAAGCCTCAAAAATGCAAACCTGAAAAATGCCAACTAAAATGCTCATCTATTTTCGGCCCCCACCCCCAAAAACTTGTATGTGTGTGTGTGTGTGTGCGTGTGGTGTGTGTGGGGGGTGGGGGTCTGTGTCTGTGTGTAATGTAAGCCAACTGTACAAAAGAATGCTGCTAGAGAATGGGCAGAGCACTGTGGAGGCCAGAAGCAATGCAAATGGAGCTCCTAATACTGCAATTTAAAATGTAAATGCGAACAAGGCCAAGAGACCAGACCGCTGATGGCCAGCATATGAATATGTATCTGTGTGTGTGTGTGTGTGTGTGTGTGCAAGAAGGGACTGGAAAGATGGCTGGATGAATAATTGAACTTTCCCTTCCGCCCCGGCAGCCTGATTGCCTGATAGCCTCCTGAAAGCCACCAGAACTTGTGCCCATGTGCAAGGGGGTATGGGGGGGTGTGGGTTCCGCTTCTCGCTTTACATTTTTCTTATTTTTGCTTTCGTTTTTGTTCAGTTTCCTTTGTTGTTTGATTTGGCAAATGGTCGAAACATAAGCGAAACAAAGTTAACTCTGCTTTTGGTTTTCCCTTCGGTGATCCCCCCAGAACCCCCAGAACCCAGATGGAGTCCTTGTTTCTTTGCTGCGGCTGACCGCTGTCAATTTATCTTTGCATATTTCCAGGCGTCCAATTAGTTTCGTCTCGCTGCCATTCGATTCGTTTTCCCATTTCCGCCTTCCGTTTTCCCTTTCGATTTATCCGGGGGTGGGGGAGAGGGTGACAACAGTTTCAGAACCACCGATTACATTCCCTTCGATCGGCTTTTGTTCCGTGGGGCTTTGTCTTAAGGCTTTTAGCACTCAATTAAATCGCTTTGCGAAGGGTCGTATTTATGAGTTTGCTTCCTTTGTGCTGTCTTATGGGTAATGCCGCCCGTGATAAATGACTTCATCTCCATTGGGTCACTCCATTAGGAGGCAGTGCGTGTGCTTAAGTGGCATTTTCGGGCCACAAATCGATTAGCGGAAAGGATGAAAGGAAAAAAAATAAACAGAGAGAAACAACAAAAAAGAAACCTCTTGTTTCCTTGCATAAATTAAAAATTAATTAAATCCCAAGAAAAGCGGACACCAACTGCCATTCGAAAAGTAATTAAAGCTGACCATCAATCTGTGGGCGAGACAAATCCCACGCCAAAGTCAAGCCCAAACCCAAGCCCGAATCCAAATCCCAGCCAAACATAAGCCGTAGAACAGCAAGAAAAAATTCGACAAATTCTAAATAAATTTGTGCGGCTTTGTGTGGGGTTTTGGAGAGAGCAAACAGCATCGCTTGTGGCCGGGACTAATGCGCTCAGCTGTAAGCAAACAGGCCAAATTCAAATAAGCAAAGAATAAGTTAGAATAAATAACTAACAAGCCAAAGACCCGCCGAACTCCTATCCCCCAAACAATGGGCCACACAACTATACAAAAGAGATGAATCACAGCCCACACAATGGGTGTAGAATTTCGACCCATAGAAACCACACACCACCACACACCATTTGGATTATAGAGAGGGAATTACCAGACCAGACCAGACCAGACCAAAGTATACATTTCTTTTGATCATTGATTCGTTTAAAGTTGGTTTCATATCATTTATGAATTAGATACCTTGAGGAGAGCTCCGCTCGTTCAGCTTATCCCTGAATTCACACATAAAACCATTTTTATCGCCTGCCCAGCATTTGCATCCACTGTACGCTCGGCTAACTTCGAAAGGTCGAACGAATGAATGAATCCCAAAGGCAAACAGGCGCTGCCAGGTCCCAGATACTTTAACAAATAAAAGTCGTTTGGGGAAAAGGTAAAGATGCGGGCAAGATCTGGGCGGATTTTCACTGGAAAAAGGAAAAACATTATAAAGAAATATCAGATAAAATGGAGTGCGGGAAAGCACGCCACACCTGCTGCATATTATGTATTGTGCGACGCTTTTTCCTTCCAACAACCTCTGCTCTTCACTCAAACAAAGGCTGGAGCCAGAAAACTGGGCCCTGGATGGGCTCTCGGGCCCGTGTTCTCCGTGCTGGGCTGGGCTCCTGGCGAGGCTGTTGTCGCTATCTTGCTTTCGCTTGCTGTTATTTTTATGACGTATTGACAATGCGTTTGACAAAAGCACTTGGCTCCTAAGAGGAGGAGCAGGAGGAGCAGGAGGAGCAGGAGCCAGAGGCATGCGATAGTAAAAGAGGAGGCTCCAGGGAAAGTGGAAAAGCGCGACTGCCATGCTTTCAATTTGTTGTTCTTTATTGATTTAAAGTTCACTTCAGTCGCGGTCGCTTTGTGAATGAGTGTCATACACACACTCCCGCACAGAAACCACATAAAACTCATTTCCCTGAAGGTACACAGAGGGAAATAGAGATGGGAGTTCCACCACGTTGGTCCATCAGTCGAGGGACCACCCCCCACTCACACACACAACACAACACTCAAATAAATAGAATCCCTTTGCCGCTGAAATTCGTATTTGTCTGCTGAAGTTTACTTAGTTTGTCTAACATGGGAATTACACGTGGTAGGGATGGATGTGGCTGGAGTCCACAAATGTTTGGGAACAGACAAAAATGAGGAGCAGCACGAATACCCTTCGGCTCTCAAGTATTTGCCCAAAATGTCGTGTGGTGGCAGGAGGCTGGCATCGATTACGCGGCAAGCAAATTGCAAAATAAATGTACATAATTTGAAAATTGACATTTGCTAATGATAAGCCTCTGCTGCTGATGATAAAATATAGCCACCATGAAGACCAGTGAGAGACATCGAGCAGCAGGCACGAGTGGCAGCAGCAGCAGCTGCTTCCGTCAACCCAACGGAAGGAAGCAAATTTTAGGCCCAAAAGCGAGCGGCAATTTCCCCCTCACGGCTCCTGTGAGCATGGAAGCTGTTTATGGTAAATTAAACCAATTGAGTGGGATTACGTCTAAGGCACTACTCCAACTCCACACCCCACACCCCATAGCCCATACCCCTGCGCCCTTGGGCACTCTTGGAAGTGTTTTCATTTTCTGTGTGGGTTTCAATTTCATTGTCTGCCCGGCTTTGTATTCACAGAGCCTGCGGCTAACGAAATTTATATACCCATGCAATGCCATCAAAGGCGCAAGGTGTTTATGGGCTTAACTCTGGCTATGACTCTGACTTTGGCTCTGACTGTGGCTCCGACTCTGACTATGGCTCTAGCTCTCTGGCTGTGTCTGTGTGCCTGCCTGTCTCTGATATTTGCATGTTCTACAAATTGTTCCATGCCACTGAAGCTGGTCCTTTGGGTAGGGGGTTCCCTGCCTGTTCGTCCTGAATGGCAGATAGAAGACAAATAGCCAGCACGTTGCGGTTCATTTAACTGCCACAACAAATGCCAAATTGATGCAAATGTAAATGCAAATCGAATTCAGAACGCGTCACTGGAATTCCAAAACAGGAATCAAATCTTTCAAATTAAGCCCCAAAGAAGTGGCAATACTCTACATCTACAATCTCGAATGACATCGGAGCAAGAGCAGATCCTATAAATGATAGCTTGAATTTCACTGCAGAATCTAAAGTGGCGGCCAAAACAAAACTGTTATGAGCTGAATTTATATCGCCTGCAGAGTCCCTTGCAGCAATCGTAAGGCAATAAATAAATTCCAATGCTCTTTTAACCTCAATAAAGCATAAAGGAGCGCAGTATATATTTGTTTTTATTTAAGTACCATGATTAATATCTATGCAGAATAAAACCCACTCATCAGCATTGAGAGAATGGCGGGACTCGAGAGGCATTACACAAATCTGACTGAATCAATCATTTATCTTTTCAATTGCAGGACTTGGCAAACGATTGGCCGTAATAGCATTCATTGAATCCGAAAGAGCAAATGTCGGGCAGGGCCTCATGTCGTTCCCGTTGAGTGGCCATAGCTGCATTGGCTTTCGCCACTGAACACTCGCACTTACTGGTACTTTGTCGCGTACTCCGCCTCGTTCTCCTGTGGATTCTGATACTTACTATGACGCTCTTACAAAGACTTACAACCACGGCAGCCAGCACGGCCAGGACAATGCTAGAGGGGAGCTTCAGCAGCAGCAGTGCCAACAGCAGAACAAAGGAGTCACAGTTCCAGTTACAGTTACAGCCATTCAACGTACCGATGCCACTGCTGGAGGCTTCGGCATCGCATGCCCGATATTTGAATTTCATTGCCGACGGGCTGGTGGACGAGGGTGCTGGGAGTGCAGGAAGCGGCGGCAGCGGCAGCGGCATCAGCAGCAGCTCGGTCACCATCGAAGACGTTGTGTCTGGCCGAGGACAGGACATGAATGGCAGTGCCGGTGCCGGTGCCGTAGCCGACGACGATGCCGAGGGCAGCACACATCTGACATTCGTCTTCGTCAAGTGTTTCATTATTGGTTTCATCATACTGGCCGCCATCCTGGGCAACATGCTGGTGATTGTGTCCGTTATGCGCCACCGGAAATTGCGGTGAGTCCTGTCCTGTCCTGTCCTCTCCACATTGTCCGCATAGTGGTTGTGTGTGTGTGCTCATATGTCTGACCGCTTGTTTGTCGCCTTCTCATTAATTTATCGCCCGAGTATCAAGTGGTCCATGTTAATCGACTGCGTTTCAATTACATTGAATTCATTTGGATCGCTTGCTTTAATTTTGTGGAGAGCTTCATTCGAGTGGCAAGTTCTTGAAGCAGCCGTCGATTGCTTGACTTTAAACGAATGATGAATTTATTGCATGTTTGTAAGTGTAAGTGTAAGCGTAAGTGTTCCTCCGTTTCTGTCTTGATTCTTTGGCTTTTGTTGTGGAATTGCGTGGATGTGACATTGCCAGATATAGCTGTCAAGGACATGGCCTCTGGCCTTGGCTCGTATTTCGCACCTTCCTGCCTTGACCACGGTGGGGGTTGTTCGCCTTTGTCCACCTCGTTTTTGTGTGGCCATTAATTTGTCATCATTTATCATATTTTTCCAACCGTTTTTGCGTGCCAAGCGAACAGAACTCGTCTCGTACATTTGATTTGCGATGCATGGGGCGTGGCTGGTTGATTCCTTTGCCTTTGCCCAAAGACAGAGTCGCATGCCTAGATACGGTCGTAATTACATTACAAATGTTAATAAAGGGCGAGCATTAAAATATGGTTGCCTACTTAGGGGGATGGGATGCGCCACTGCCTTTTACTTTATGTGCGGCCATATAATTTGTCAAATTTATGAATTGAGCGACGCCTCCACATGAGATATGCCTTCCAGGTAGTCCGCCTCGGGCCTCGTCATTCGGTACGTGTTTTAGCCGCAAATTCATAAGCCCAACCTCGCTGGCATTTAAACAACCAAACATAAAACACTCAGACAATAAGGATGCGCAGACCAGAGCAGGGGGCGGGCTTCGGGGCGACAATGCTGTAACCTAACCCCCGGTACGTTCAATGTCAAGGCAGAAGACTATTAAAGCAACCTCAAAAAAAAACGTTGCCATTGCCATTGCCTCTTGGCAATGCCTTGGCGACATGGAACACACAAACACACACACACCTGACATTTGTGTGTCGGTCTCTGTCTCTCTCTCTCTATGAGGTCTCTGAGACCGAGACCCAAGACCGAGACAGAGGCTCATTTAGCCTGCCAGGGACAGGCAATTTGGGACCTGACCCTGACTGCGTCTACGAGTATTTCATGTTGCCATTTTTATCTCGACGGTTTGTGCCTCTTCCTTGCCTTCGCTTTTGCTTTTGCTTTTGCCTTTGCTGCTCCTCCATTATTGTGCTCATTGTCATGTGCGTTTTCCGCACCATTTTCACCTTTTATGCCTGGGTGCACAGTTTAAATCATCGCGGCAAATTAGACATAATTACGAAACAACATGTATTCCCACTTAGGCCTCCTCTATCTTCTGTATATGGCCTCGCATGGGCATAGACACATACATACGGATAATATATCCCAGGAGATGGACAGTTACACCATAAACCTCTATAATAAAAGCCAACAGAATTGCCTGGCATTCACCAATCAATAAATAAAGTGACAAATTAAAGAGAAACTTCCGTCAGGGTCAAGGTTTCTTTTCCTTTTGCCATTAGCCGCCATGCCACTGCCATCGAATGACGGGAGCAAAACTGCCAACTCATAATTGTAATCAAACTTTACACCTATCCACCATCCCCACCCACTCTTCTCCTCTTCCGCCTGCTCCTGACATCCTCCTCTTTTATGTCCACCCACTATATAATCGGCTTTCGAGCGACGCCTCAATAGCATTTTCATTCTGCTTTTGATGCGGCTGTTGTGCCCTTTGTACGGCATTTTGCAGTAGTTAAAGCTCGCCCTCCACCGGTCGGTTGACTCCCCTTTGCGGCTGGGTACTCTTAATTAGGTTTGTGGGCGGCAGTTCAATGTCCCGGTGAAACGTACAATTTAGCCAAAAGGAGACGAGACCCATTGTTAGCCGGGCCAGATATAGATAGACGATATAGGTCAAAGACAGTGCCGGGCCACGACTCAGTTTCAATTTCACTTCCTCGTTTGGTGGAAAGTTTCCCCCTCATTCATATTAAATCATTTCAGTTTGGTTTCCCTTATTTTCCTTCGTCAAAGTTTCATTGGAAAAGTATAATTTACTCGCTCATAGCTGTGAGCTGTGTGTGTGTGTGTGTGTGTGGGAAATCTCTTCTGATGGCCTCCGACGATAAACGTATTTGCCATCCGCCCGCCATGTTGCGTATACGCCGCGTGCACATAATTGACTTAACGTTTTGCGGTGCCACGCAATGCTGCTGATTGTCGGTGGAAGTTGTGGCGTTGTGGCGGCGTTAAGCTAATTATTAATTAACCCATTAAACAATGAAATCCACTCTGAGGAGCGTCAAGCCACCACACGCGGCGAATGCGCAATGGCAATGTGAGTACCGCACCATCAAAGTGCCACAAAGTTTTCAACTTTAGATCCAAGACTGAGCTGAGGAGGCGATTAGCACTAAGAGCGTGCCACTGCGTGCCACTGCGAGCTGAAAGCTTAATGCTTAAATTCAATTTGAGAGTAGTTTGAGAGCAGTCTCCTTCGAGAAGAGTGACTTCCGTTTGGGTGTGTGGTTGTGTGTGTGCTGGCTTCCGCTTTCCTTCCTCCTTGTCTTGTGCCTCTCCATCTGGACGTTGGTTTTACGCTTTCTTTCATTTTTGCAGCATCATTACCAACTACTTTGTGGTTTCATTGGCCGTGGCCGACATGCTGGTGGCCCTCTGTGCGATGACATTTAATGCCTCCGTTATGATCTCGGGCAAATGGATGTTCGGCTCCGTCATGTGCGACATGTGGAATAGCTTTGATGTCTACTTCTCCACGGCCAGCATAATGCACCTCTGCTGCATATCGGTGGACAGGTGCGTGTTTGCCCCATTCAAGGGAGAGGCAATTTGATTTATTTCAAGTTATTATCTTCCAGGTACTATGCCATCGTCCAGCCACTGGACTATCCGCTCATTATGACGCATCGGCGGGTTGGCTACATGCTGCTGATGGTCTGGCTCTCGCCAGCACTGCTCTCCTTTCTGCCCATCTGCTCGGGCTGGTACACAACGAGCGAGAACTGGAAATATCTCAAGTCGAATCCACATGTGAGTAGAGCACTTAAACTGCAGTCGGCAGACTTTAAATGGCAGCAGCCAATTGCCAATTAAGTACGAGCTGAATCAATGTAGCAAAACCACTTACTTTTTTCATTCAATTTGGTTTTGGTCAGCAATGCCCTCACAGATTTGTTTGAAGTTCAGTTTGCCGTGCCCTACCTGGGACTGGACTCGACTGGGCTGCTCTCTGCATTATTTATTCAATTTTCTAGCACATCAAACTAATAGAAAATTCTAATTCAGTTGATGTATGTACATACATTCGGTGTCGTGTCCGTGTGCGGTATCGACTTTGCATGCATTTTGCATCACATCAGCCGTGTGTGTGTTCCGTGTTCCATAGACAGATCCTAGCCCGGGGGCATCCAAGGGGCATAGGCAGCCCAGCCCCCGTATCAACAGAAATTGATTTATGTTTCTGTGTGGCCGAAGCAGTTTTACGCCTTTCAGGCGCTCAGCCGACAGGTAGCATATTTATTACTCCATTTTATTGGTTTCCTCCTGCCACCTACCTGCTTCGACCTGCGGCCCAGTCCAAATATTTGCCAACTTCTGAGGATGCCGATGCCGCCCATTCCTTCATGGCGCCCTCCTCCTCCTCCTCCAGTTATCATTGCGCAATAAAAATGCTGATGTAGAAATAAATGTACATAATTCTATTTGGGCTTTGCATTGGGTATGACTTTGGCACAGGCTGTGCATAATTTTCGCGTCCTGCGACTGCCTGTTCCTGCTTGTTCTTGTCTGTGTTCCGTGCCTCACCTGCCTTGCCCGTCTGCCTGCCTGACTGCCTGCCAAAGCTTCATTGAAAGGCCTTTGCATACATTAGCATTCGAGTTGGGCTTTAATTAGTTTTACTTGTTTATGCTAATAACAAGAAGCCAGGAACACGCCCGTTCGTCAGGGCGGAACTTCGTCCTTGCCATAAATCTGATTAGATGTCTTCTGGGCTGGCCTTTTGTCTTGCCAGCGCCGTAATGCACGCTGTGTAATTGAGTTTTTATTGCCGCAGTTGGCATTGCAATAATCGCATTACGCATACGCAACGTTGAGCAGCAGCAAGTTGCATTACATTCCATTACTGGTACGCGACCACAAGCCCCGGGGTACTCGACCCCGATTCCCCAAACCCCAGCACATTCACATCCATTTTGATTTATTGACAGCCGAAGCGAGCTCTAATTGAGTTGCCTTTCTGATTTCCTCCACTCCACTCCACTCTGTTCTCGGTTCTATTCTATTCTGTTCTGCTCTGCTCTTCTCTTCTCTATCAATTTGCCAGATATGCGAATTTAAAGTGAACAAGGCGTATGCCATTGTCAGTTCGTCGATGAGCTTCTGGATACCGGGAATCGTGATGCTGTCGATGTACTACCGCATTTACCAGGAGGCCGACCGGCAGGAGCGTCTCGTGTACAGGTAACCCCCAACCCCAAACCCCAACCCAAACATCGGCCAAGTGGCCAATTCATTTGGCCAGCGGCAATTAACGCTAATTACTTGTGCGAGCCAGGTCCAAAGTGGCGGCACTCCTGCTGGAGAAGCATCTGCAGATTAGCCAGATACCCAAGCCCCGGCCGAGCATTCAGGTGGAGCAATCGACCATAACGACGATGCGGAGGGAGCGAAAGGCGGCCCGCACCCTGGGCATCATAATGAGCGCCTTCCTCCTCTGCTGGCTGCCCTTCTTCCTCTGGTGCGTATACAGCGGATACAACTTGATACCTGCACAGTTTTCCAATCATCTAATCCCATTTGGCTCCACTTCTCACCAGGTACATCGTCTCCTCCCTCTGCGAAAGCTGCATTACTCCGCGTATCGTGGTGGGCATTCTCTTTTGGATCGGCTACTTCAACTCGGCATTGAACCCCATTATCTATGCATATTTCAATCGCGATTTCAGGGCTGCCTTCAAGAAGACGCTCAAGGTGAGTACCACCTGGTTAGAGGTGATGGAGGTGGTGATGGGGCTGGGACTGGAGCTGGGGGTTTGGGTGGGGATGTGTTACATCTATTGAGTAATTTTTACCTTTTTTCGACATTGAGTTCTATTCGATTCCGCTATTGATTCGGCCCCACCACTACCACTGAATTCTCTGCACACCCGTCCTAGACTTAGTTAAGAGTTCCGGCCACTGCTGCAGCGACCAAGGACGGGGACAGCCGCACGGCAACGAGAACGATGGCATTGAGACCCACAACAGCCGCATCGAGAAGAGCCACCGCCATGGGGGCGCACATTTTGGTAGCTACGAGTACCTATTGTATCGTATCTTCAGCAGCCGCATTGGCACATACTCGTACATACACAGCTCGTACATACATACATACTCGTATATAAAGAAGTAGTAAGCCAAGTAGCTCGACTTGGAAGCGTAGCAAGAGTAGCGTACTTACACACATACTTACATACTTATTAGATGATTGCTGATAATGGCTGCTTGATACAAAATCATCAAATCAAATATCAAAACTCTATGCCATCTTTGCCTGAAGAACTGAATCTCTGCACGTGCCTCTGACTCTTTGCTCTTTGCTATTTGCTCTTTGCCTGCCTGTGACTTTCTCTCTTGCTTCGCTCCTTCATCTCCAGCGCCAAACTCTTCGCCCGGAAACAGGATGTGCTGCCTGCAGTCAGTTTAACGCTTTAGCTCTCTAATCGCTCAACATCTTGCCTACCTCTTCATCTCGCTCTCTCTCTCTCTCTCTCTCACTCACTTTCTCTCTGTCTCTCTTTCTCTGTATTTCTTCCATGCACAGCTGGGGCTTTCTTTGCTGATTCGTTGCCTCATGCCCGACAAAAGCTAAACGCGCCCGAGTATGCAATAGAAAGCATAAAATGTAATATTTAAATTAAAAGCAAAAACTCTTCTCCACTTGTATATGTATGAGTATGCACACTCACACACTAACACTTGCCCGCTAGCTGGAACAACAACAACACAACACAACACCACACACACAAAAATGTTTGAAACACAAATGTCTGATGATGAAATGTTATTTTTCCGGGCTCTTTTTTTATTCCTTTCTCGTCAAAAAAAAAAAAGAATGTTCCCCTTTGACACAAACACACGCACATGCACCCACACAGTTGCCCAAATGGTTGGACACACACACACACACAGGACTAAGGTCCTGGGATCCCTTTTTTCTACGAATATCCGCCCTTTCATTTCATTTTGTTTAGCATTTTTATACCCTTAAAAAATCCACGGGTATCTGTGGGTTCTTTGGGTGTTCTTTGTTTTTTATTATCATATCTAATAGCCGACTCGGCATAGTCCTATCCGTCTATATGCTCTCTGATCTATTCTCTTTCTGCACTGACTTTTGACTTTTAAAGATATTCCATAAAATCCCATTTTATCCACAGAATATTCCATATAAAAAAAACACTGCCTGTCCATGATGGTATGGCAAGGGTATCAACTGTTTCGACACCCCCGAATGTGGACATTCCATGTTGAGTTTAGCATTTTTTGTGTGTATTTTTTTGTGTGCCATTTTTGGGTTTTTTCTTTGTTTTTTGTGTAAAGCCAAATTGTCACAGACATGTGCCGCCGCCACCACTTGCTCGCAAAGTCTTCATCTATCCGCTTGCTCTCTGCTAACCCGCCCGCCTGCTCACTCGTGCCTCGTCGTGTCCCGTCCCGTCCCCAACGTCGTTTGCCTATGCTTATCCTTTAAGTACTGTTACTACATATACTCCTACTCCTACTCGTACTCGTATTCGTCCAACGTAGTGGGCCACGTCTCTGTGGCAGCTCTATTAAGTTATAACACATCTAATGCATAACATACATACATATATCTGCGACTATGTCCTGGCCAGAGTTGCGGGACCTTCTCCACTACCAATCTCTGCTTTTCTCTTCCCCGCAGAGCTGCTGTTCGTTTGCGTTCATCGATTGTCGCCCCAGCCACTGGAGGGGTGGCGGGGATCTCGACTTTGGCGCCCCCAGCAGGAGGGGAACCAACGGCGCCAGAGTGGGATCGGGATCGGCCGAAATGCCCAACTGCATAAACTCAACGGCCTCCTCGGAGATACACATGGGTGTGATGCGAGCCAGACAGTACGCCGTCAATGTGACACCCACCACGGATGCCCAGCAGCAGTTGCATCCTCTCTACACCAACTAATCCCCATCCCCCGTGGGATGCTCCGCCATACACACTACCCGTGCGTAGTTGTCTACAGGTGCACAGCTACGGCCAGATTGAAAAATTAATCACAAATTCCCCACACTGCAGCAGCAGGAATTTCCAGAATTTACACAAAAGCTACAACAAGAACAAAAAACGACAATCCCACAGATAAAGAGAGCCTTCAAAGGGTGCAGCCGCAAAACAAAATGCACAAGGAAGATGGCTTGAAATACACATAGAAATATTCGGACAGGAATGCAGGAGCAAGGAATTCCATAGAAAACATTCAGTTGACGTTTAGAGAGCGGTTTTTGGCCGAGAACACACAAGTTAATATAGATGTATGTAAATTATGAATATTGTATGTTTGATATACGTATATGTAGAGCTAGCTGTTAACCCATAGAACGAACCAGAAGCTACGGAAAAGGAATGCAATTACAGTGAAAAGACAAAGCAGAAAGTTTTCCTTAGAACTTGAATTTAATTTGATTTAATATTTCTGAAAGAAATGGTTTTACTTTTGAACCGTTTGGAAGTCCTTTTGGTTACACCTTGGTGGAAAATATTTGAATGATCTTGTTCATAGAACTAAAACCAAAGAAACCTGCATACTACATACATATATAGATGGGTGTCATATACTACTACATATATATAACCATATACTATAATCATACTTAATACATATACGCGTATAGAGAGCATAGAGCAAACACACACATAATCATATCCATTGGGTCTATTAGCCACTCAGCTCTGCCGTTAGTAGTAGCTGCCGGACTTCAAGTCTCTCACAATTGTTGTATGTAGTGCAAAGCCACGTAAATAACGAATATGTATGAACTATAGCTACCTTTACCTGCTGATCCAACTGTCGATACGATTACATAGCTATACCTGCAAAGATATTGTATTTAGAGGAAATTGACATTCATAGAACAGTTTCGTAGACCCCTCCTAACCCCAAACAAGCTGTTGTTCTGTTGCCTAGACAATCTTACTGAAATGAAAGCACACAATAAAATGCTCCACAACTTTCCCTCTCATTCTTGGCCAGCCCAAAACCAAACAGCTCACAATCGCATTCGCAACTGTAACTGCCAAGCCCCCCCCGTACTGTTACCCCCACCCCCAGCCCCACAATTTGTCATCGCTGTTCGCCGTCGCCCCCATAAATCAAAGAGAGTTCAGCGGGGGTTCAGTTTCAGCGTAGAACAAACAAGAAATTGGCTGGAATTGTTTGCCTAAAATATTAAATCGTTGCAAATGCGAATACCAGCAAAGCGCTCACTTTTTTCCTGCGATTCATAGTCATTATTTAAAGCGCCGGCTTAAGAGCTCACCGCTGTCGACAAATTGGCAACCGTCACCCTCCCCGTCCGCCCTGTCCTGCTTTCTCTTTGGAACTCCGAATGACTACGGGGTATATTATACGTAGTATCTTTCCTTCCTTCCTCTGCCTGCTCGTCCGCCAGACTTGTCAATATTTGCTTTATTTAACTTTCGGCGCTTTGTTTAAACTGAAGAACGCCACGCCACGGGCATAAGTTTGCCGTCAGCAACGCTGATAACATTCGGAATGTAGACAAATATTGTTAGCTAAATTAATGTTAAATGAGCAAACGTAAGCGTGGGCAGGGGGCAGAACGAATGGGCGATACTCTCAAGCAAATGAAAACTCAGTCTTTCCTTAATTATTTAATTGCCACAATGCTACCGTGTGTGTTGACTCAAGTGCCTGATTGCGAAGTCGTGTAACTGCCAGCCGGAAAGATTTCCAGGTGCATTGTCCTGAGAGAAGTTGAGTTACATCTGATTACATAAATACGTGAGCCTTAAATAGGATGCAATCTGAGGGTATCACCAGATGTGCGGCACACGTGTCTGGCGGTTGGTTAATCAGCTGCTTCGAACAGCAAAAAGCGCCATAAATAATATGTAGCTATACGATTTAGTTGAACAACAAATTGGCATGTCAACTGACGGTGGGGAGCAGAGCATGTGACTTTTGGTTATTAATAAATAAAACAATCACTGGAAGCTTAAATAACTAAACGATGACAGTCGCTGGCAGCAGGCAGCAGGCAGCAGGCAGCACTATGCCGTCGAGTCATTCCATGATCCATTACCAGATAAGTTTGCACCTCCCAAACAAAGAGTTATCAAGTGTGGATGATTGCTGCAGCGCCTGGATCCTAATTTTAATGACTGAATCATTTCGTTTCTAAATTATATTGTACGAGTATGTCTCTATCTTTATGACAATGAAATACTATAACCCCCTATCTGTAATTGTATACATATTTTTACGAGCATGTAGATCGTTGGAATATATTTACATACATACATATTGTAGGTATGTATGTTACGCGTGCATGTATGTGCGTAGCTAATGAATGTCACACAAATTAATCCCCATATAAGAAGCCAAACAGAATTGCTATCAAACAAATAAATGTCCAAGAGAAACGTGCTGAGCTAAAGCTTACAATGTTTTGTAATTAAATTACAAATTGTGTGCAATAATAATAATACAATACCATTATTAATACATGATACATAATAGTGAAATATCTGTTAAACATACTCGTATCCGTGTGGAGTGTATTATTCATGTGTACAATATGTAGTGGACAGGCAGGCAAAATCATTAAAAAGCAGGCCACATTATTGTTTTAGGTAATTACCAATAAATGTGAAAACTTGTAGAACTATACGTAACTCTGTGGCCCATTAAATATGAAATACAAATATTATTGTACGTGCAAACGGAAACGGGAACGAGCGCCAGAATGTTAATTAATTTGTGAAAAATACGAAAATACATACATACATATATATATATATATATATACAAATTTGTGGGCGGCTGCGATTGTCGATTGTGGGTCAATTTTCGTAATCGGAGCTGAGATACCTTCCAAGTTTCACAAGCGAGAGAACCGAGCGAACGGAGAGTCTCTCGACTTGGGTAAATGTTAACAAGCGTTTTGTCAGTGGAAACTATATTATATTATATATTATATTATATTATATATATATTTATTATACAAAGGGATATGATATGATATGATATGATATGCATGTATGTATTGAATTGTGTGTGTTGTACCCATCATGTACGAGTACGTTCAAGAAATGAAGCAATTACAATCGTATGGAATAAAGTAATATGTAATAATAAAAAGGTTCAAAACATCAAATGTCTGCTTGTCGCTCTTTCATTTCATTTCATTTCATTTCTACTCGTAATACCCATACCACACGATGATCCATCTTCATTTCTGCTCAGGTAGAGATGCGACAGCTAGGGGCGGTGGTACCCCGCGTTATGAGTGATTGTTATTGCTATACGTATCTCTAAACTTTTTTTGTATTAACTGATATGCATTGTAGACTCTGAGATATTTACGGCCCATCATTCGTGCGACGATAAGCCAAGCAGCAAAGCAGAAAAAAGAAATGGGCAAAAAATTATTATTAGTACAGGAAATTGATTTGAATTGAATGCTGCTCCATATGAGATGGTCTCATTCTCACCTTTCTTTCGCCGCCTTGAAGGATTTCTTGCGCTGCTTGAGACAGACGTCCTGGGCAGCATCGGGATTGGGCAGATCGTTGGGCGATATCATGGTTATGTTATCCGGATGACAGAAGAGGGCAATCGAGTGCCTGCCCCGGGACCGCACCGACTCCTGTTCAGGCACAACGACGCGGTGTTGCTGCATTCAAAAAACAAACCAAAATCCACATTAGCCGGGAACGTACATTAAGTACATCGGATATGCAAAGCTCACCAAGGCGGGATAGCGATCCTGGGTCCAGGTGTTCAGGATTTGGCCACAGTTCACCAGAATGGAGCCGGGCAGATGGCCCACGCGATGCCACTTTTCGCTGCCGGGCAGCTTCACCTCCAGTCCCCCCTCCGAGTCCTGGGCCAGCAGAGTAAATGTGCCGTAGTCCACGTGTGGCGGGCAGGTGATGACGGCTCCGTTGCCGAGCTTGTGCTCGAAGAGCTGGCCATTGGGGCCGTCCAGCTCATTGAGCTCGGCCTCGTCGCGGGGATTGTTCTCGGGCCGGAAGTCCGGCTGGTTGGACAGGCAACGCTGGTAGCTGTAGAGGCAGCGCCCCTTGATGGTGTCGTTCTGGCCAGGCTCGTCGTCCACGATGGGGGGGTAGTAGAGCATGCGCAGGGAGGTCATGTTGTCGTGGTCGCCGGACAGCATGTGTGAGTGCTTTTCGAGGAAGAACGTGGTGGGAATGTCCAGGGAGACGGCCAGCGACTGCAGAATGAAGCTGGCCAGCGCCTTGAAGTCGGTGGCCAAGGTGCTTATGTGGTCCGCGAAACCCGGCAGCGGCTCTTCCGGCAGATTCTGGGCATTCAGTGTGCAAATGTTGAACGCATGCCTCAGGTCGGGGGCTCCGGGCTTCCCGGCGTACCGCTCCTGGCCGCGACTCACATAGCCATGCTTGTCGCCATCTGTGCGGATGTAGTGCTGCCTGACGTCCGGCGGTAGGTCCACAAAATCATCCAGATGATCCCAGGCAGTCTTAAGCTGAAAGCGGACAATAATTAGCACTTGATATTTGGTGGGGAATGGGGAATGGGTGGGGTACCTTCTCGTCGGATATGCCATGGTTGACCAGCAGAGCCATACCCTTCTCGGACAGGGCCTTCTTCAGCTGGTGGCCCACGCGATTCACCACTGACTTGACGGGCACCTCCTCAATGCCTGCAAAATACAATAAAGAGAAAACAAAAAGACACGATTAGTCGGCGTGGGAATAGCTAGCGGAGCCCCCCACTTAATCGCCAATTGTTTTACGAGTTCTTGGAACACCCAGCACACAGCACACACAAGTACGAGTACGAGTATCACCCATAGCTGGCTGGCAATCTTTAAGTACGGGTAATGGCCGGGTGTTTATGGCACCCCTACATATGGAACACCTGCCATAAATAACCGACTCTCGGGCACTCGAATGCTTCCAATGATTTGAATGTCACGGCTTGCCCACTGAGAAGCGTGGCTGAGCAGTTTAAGGTAATCCACGTGCCGCTTACACAACGTAAGCGTCCAGCAGAGCAGTAGAGCAGAGCTGCCCCCCAACTCCAATCCCCAATCCCAAATGAAGCCAGTGGGCGGGCAAACTTTCAATGCCACACAAAGAGGCATTGAAGGGAAAGCAATAAAGGTAGTAAATGCAATCAATTTCAATGCAAGCGCAGCGGATGGCGTTGCCGATAATGGCCACGACACTGCCCTGCCAGCAGTGTGCGCAGCGGAAAATTAAATAGAAAATGCAAGGAAAAACCGCAGCGGAAGTCCATTCCGTCATTTAGCACGCGACCCTGCCGTGCCAGTCGTCCGCCCCAGATATGTATGTTCCTACTCTTCGCTTTTTATCTGGAAGTGTGTGCTCTTCAAGATATCAAATGGGGGTTTTCCCCATGAGCTGGGCCTTCGACTGCTGCTCCACTGCTTTCTTCTATTTTGATCGCCATGAATGGGAATGCACGGTGAATGCAAAATAATTATGTATATCCCAGCCACAGCGGGACAGGGCGTATGGGGCATCTATTTTTAGTTTCCTACGCTAGAGCTCGAGCTTAGCCCGTGACGCACTCTTTCACATACTCGCAAGCTGATAAGAATTTTCAGAATCAGAATTTTATAGTTAATAACAATTACGTTGTGTTGCGTTCCAGTTCTTATCACTGAGAGCGCTGTCGCCAGGCGGCAATTGCTGGGAAGTGCTCTCCCACTTCACGCTTATATGTATGTGGATGGGAGATGGGAGGCATTGAAAGCCCCAAAGTCAGAGCCCAGATGATGTGCGGAATAATAATGATGATGATGAGGAACAAAGAGCTCGGCGAGAGGTCAGTCGGACGATGAATTGAATGAATTGAATTGACAACACAACACAACATATCGCCTTTCGTTTTCACTAGAAGTCGGTCCAGTTTTATTTGTGAGGTTTTATATTTTTTTTTTATTATTTT